CCAGTCTCCACGATGTTGTGCAAATGGCGCGCGATGCTAATGGCAATGCAGTATATGACCAAGACAGGGACTTAGAAGACTTGCATCTCCCTGTTCTACAAATAGGCTCTCCTTCAAATCGATTGAATTGGGGTGCCTCAGATTTACAAGATGCACTTCAAAGCAGAATGCGTGAGAGTACTGACATTTTAATTCGCAAAATAGCGGAGATTCAATATGAAGAGAATCTAAGGCAATCTCAAGAGACAATCCGCGAGGCACTGGAGCGAGTTAAGAAGGCTCAAGACCGAGCGCAGTACATGAAGAGTCTGCGGCGAGATCTTAAAGAACGCCTTTATGGAGAGCTTGAGTTTAGGCAAGCCAACGGGAGCCTGAAAGCCGACGAGGGTAGCAAAGAGAGGGAAAAGAGTGATCAAAAACACAAGCAGATTTTACAAGAACTCAAAAAGGAAAAAGAATGGCAGCGAAGAACTGAGGTGATGATTTCAAGGCAAGAAGAGAAAATTGAAGAACTTAGAAAGGAAGTGAAAATGGAGATCCGCGGGATCATGGAGGAACAGAATAAACACTACGAGGAAATGAAACAAATGTTACAGGATTCCAAGGCGCTGGTTCCGTTTCAGGGAAGTGATCAGGCGTATGGTAGTCTAGATGGATCAACACGATCACGATCAAATCCAGATGAACAGATGACACCAAGAAAACGAAGGCGACGCAGAAATATAAAAACTCCAGTCGAGGAACGCTCTCGGTCAAGCACGCCAGAATTTTACATCATCAATAATTCATCCCATCATCATCATCATCTTCATCATCATCATCATCATCATCATCATCATCATCATCTTAACTATCCATCATCATCATCATCATCATCAACATCATCATCATCATCATCATCATCATTATCATCTTTATCATTTTCAATCATCTCAATCATCACCATCATCATCATCATCATCATCATCATCATCATCATCATCATCATCATCATCATCATCATCATCATCATCATCATCATCATCATCATCAACATCATCATCATCATCATCATCATCATCATCATCATCATCATCATCCTGATCATTGTCATCATCATCTAAATAACCCGACAGAGAATAATCGAACACAAAGGAATCTTACGCGTTGGCCGGATAGGTGAATTTCATTAAAGTTATTTTTAGAGATTGTAATTAAACGGAATCTGATTCATTGGACATCCCCAAATCTCAATCTATTATTAGGAACGTCATCAAGTTTTCGCGCGTCTGTCTCGAAGCAAAATAGTCAAAATAATGTACTGGCGACTGTTGCGTTATCTCTTGACAACACTAAACAAAAGTTGGGGACCTCTCCGGAAACCAACTTTCTATTAATTCAAGCGTTCAATTGATTCAAAAATAACTTAAGTGAAATTCACATATCCCAAAGACTATACCTGAGTGTTTCCCTCTCTGTACCATTAATTATTCTCCATTGAATAATCTTTTAGCGTTCATGCGAAGTGATCATAACAGTTTCCATTGATAGCTTTGCATTTGCATGGTATAGTATGATAACGAATGAGAGTCTTGTGTCGAAGTGGCGTATGGGAATGTTCATAATAACTGTAAAAGAAGCTGTAGAGTCCCCCAAATAGCCCCATATTGCAAATTTACCCAACCACGACCTAGTCTCACTGTCTTGAAATATCCATTAGGCCTTCTCGTTCCTGAGCCACTCGGCACGTGACCAATAGAAACGACGGGCTGTGGGGACAATAATGGCCATTAGGCAACAGCAACTCAACTGAGCATGCGTAGGCAGTGTAACGAGTTGCCTCTCACGTGTCACAGTTTATAGCTTACCTTCAGCCAACTTTATATACAGCAGAGATTTTATATTATCCCAGGAAGAAAAACTACTTTATACCAGTATATAATTGTACAGTTTAAATATGTCGTTGTCTTATTATAGATAGTGACTCTTAAAACGGGATTTTCATCCACATACTCAAACATATTGTCAACTCCGTTGTACAGAATGATATTTAAAACACTCATAGAAGCACCACATGCTCCAAAAGTTGCTCCACGTTCGAAAAGCAGAGGAACATTCGTGAGCTCAGCAACCCGGCTTCTCCGTCTAAAAGACCGTCTCTGATAAACTTGCTCAACGATCGATCAAAAATTCCAAATATGTTTTTCTTTTCATTGCGCCTGGCATGTCACACAGACTGTAAAACTGGGAGCGTTTAAATTTGATGAAATATATTGGTGAGCTCATTTCGCACTGAAATTCATTTTCGTGGCTTTATCAGTTTCTTACAGTACATCCTCAAAGACGGAAGGGTGACCTGTACATGTATTCATGTATTACATAACCAGAGGTAAAATGGAAAAAAATGGCAAATACATACTCTTGGCAGGAGCCTATAAGTCCTGCTCTTTCAGACTCGTACACGTATCTCACATTTATTTAAATGAAAAATATTGCTATCATACAATACACATTTTATTCATTACTTATGTTAAATATGTAACTTATTCATATCTGTTTATTACAGCATGTTTAACTTATTCGAAATTACACATGAGTTATACGTGATCATTTTATGAACATTTGTCTATTTATAGTTACGGCGGCCATACTGGTTACCACCTCATCATTTCGGCCATTTTTCTATGGCCCAGAAATTTTGCTACCATGGTATAATGACGTTACTCTTCTCCTCTCTTTGTAGTCAGCGACTTTTTTTTTTTCATTTTCAACACCTGTTTATAACAAGGAGGAGGCAAAAAGGGGATTGTTCAGATTTTTGTTTCTTTTCGGGAGCTAGAGGCCCTTTTAAAAATTACTATCAAAATGAAACCCGTCGTTTCCCGATCTAGTCGACCATTAATTACTTTTTTGAGTATTTTGACCCATACGTGAGGATAGTGAAAAGCTGTGAAAGGAAAACAGGACAAAACAATGAAAAAAAAAAAACAGCAACAAACAACAACGACAAAAACAAAAGCGGAAAAAAGAAATTAATGTTTCTGACAGTGAGGTCCCACCGAGATTTGAACTCGGATCGCTGGATTCAAAGTCCAGAGTGCTAACCATTACACCATGGGACCTGTTGATAGGGTGGGAGGGGACAAAATAAGCGTTCGTATCCTGCACCCGTCGCGCATGCTCTACCCTCTGTTCCCCTCAGAATCGTACTCAGAAAAGGGGGATCCCGCACCTATTTGAGAGTTTGTTTTTGATTAGCTGGGCAAACAATAGGGATTGTCACATAGCAATGCCACTATCCCTGAAAACAATGGAAGTGCAGCTTAAAGTGAAATATGAGGTTTAGAACAGTGCAGGTCTACTCTCAGAAACATAATTTTCATATTCCATTTCTTTTCTTTAATACTAAATATGTGTATTATATAATTCTTTGTCTAATTTGGAAGCTTTTTCTGCCAATTTGTTTAATCGATCGTGCTATTGGGTTAAAGGGAAAAATTTATCGTGCCATATATAAAACGTTCCGCACAGTAAATGTTTGAAACTTCCTTGTTTGACAGTTGAACAGCATGATCGTCAGCGGCCGGTTACAGATATATTTAGTCTCTTTTTATATATTTGTTTTGTTCATATTTTTTTCTCATGGCCAGGTTTCAGTAAGCACTGAGCGCGGCGCAGAAAAGGAAGACCGTGCTGATGCTTCTGGAGAATCGAAAGTTTTAGGATAAACAAAAGAGGAGAGAACTTGCAGAAAACCAGCTCTCGGATCAAAAAAAGAACCAGCAAACTCCAATCACAAAAATTTTCCGGCAACCGCCTTCTCAGATAAGAAAATGATGTTGGTAGATTCCCCCGACTTTCTTTCTCCCGTTTGATTTTGAAGCTGGAGACCCTTAGCTGCAGTAAAAAAGAAAGCCGTATATAGTTTCTTTTTTTTTTTAGGAAAAAAGATAGAGTTTGTTATAAGTCTTTCCACTTATTATAGTACTAAACGAAAGAGAGAGAAAACTAGAGAAATCAAAAAGGTCCAAAGAGAAAAATACATCTCCGATAGGTCCCACCGAGATTTGAACTCGGATCGCTGGATTCAAAGTCCAGAGTGCTAACCATTACACCATGGGACCTGTGTTGCTCCTTCACGGGACAAAACTGCCAGCCAATTCTGAATAGTAGACGTCAACGATCGTTCCAACCTCTCTCAATTGATTGTTTTTATTTAACCCATTTCTTCTCTTTTTATCTTTTTAAATATTTTTTGTCCACTTTGGGTTCATCCCCGATCCGAGGCCTTATGTCCTGTGAGGCTAGAAAAGGACGGGTGAAAAAGGTTGGGTTTATCCTGGTGTAAGAACCTGTAAAACTCACTGGTAACGTAAAACAAATGAATTAAAGAAAACAAGAAGTCAACGGAATACCGCCTATAAAAAAGAAGGTTGCAAAGCAAAGAGAAAGGTCGCAAGACCTTTAAAACCAAAGTTTATTATATAAACTTCAGTGTATTAACAGGTGAGCTTTCGTGCGAAAACTTGATATCTTCACATGTGAAAATATCACCGTTGCTATGGCTACATAATAAATCGCGCCTTTCACACCAAAAAACTATTAAAGTGAAATGATTTGGTAGTTCATTGGCGTTTATATAATATATAGAACATTACATGGCCGCTTGGAGATACGAAATTTCTCTTCTCGAGTTAAAAAAATATTTCACTCGTTCGCTGCATGCGCTCACTCGTGAAATGTTTTTCAACACTCGAAGAGAAATTTCGTATCACCGCGCGGCCGTGTAATATCCTCTATAAATTCTCAATGAGTATTAATTCAATCAGTAGGGTTTTTCAGGCTCGATTTCCGCTGCTCATAGTCGGGTTTCTCGACAAAGCTCATTTCCGGAGCAGCGACTGCATGATTGCGCACCAGTGAAACCTCTATTTATTAGTGGACACCTTCGGGACCTTCCTTAAAGTGTCCCCTTAATAGAGGTTTGTAAAAATTGCGCAATGTTTCTTGACGATTTACTTTCAACGGTTACCTCTGTATTGTGATAAAGTTCCGTGTTGTTAAGGAGGATATCCAGAGTTCAAGTTCATTACCTTTCATTACCAACTTTAATTTGTTTGTAAATGCAAAAACTTAACCGACGTATTTCATGGACGTAATCCAATACTACTGTTGTAAATTCAGTCCGGTGTCCGCCTAAAAGAGGTTTTTTAACAATAAGAAATTAGCCAAATGCGATTAATTTTATAGTCCGCGTTCGCTTAATAATTAATAGAGTTGTCCCTGAATAGGGGTTCGTTATAAAGGGAAATATAGGACGTTAATTTCGGGACCGGGGGGTCCGCTTAATAGAGGCGTCACTTTATACAGTGAAAGCTAAGCGCGCTGTGATTGGTCGTTTCCCATGATGTATTAGAGTACAGATACATGAATGACGTCGCGGAAAACTTGTTTTCTTTGCTTTGTTCAACATTCGCTACTTTGGGAAATACCATAACAATCTTTTTTGTCTTCCCCCCCCCCCCCAACCCCCCAAAAGAAGAATATTAATAATAATTTGCATAACCATTGTTTTCAGTTTCTCTAAGGACTCAGAATCCTCCCAAGAGAAACTGAAAACAATGGTTATGCAAAATCTTTTTTGGGACAAGATTATCATGGTATTTTCTAACTTGACGTATGGTGCGCGGTTTGAAAATGTTTGTGAGGTTATTTTGGATTAAGCAAGAGAAATTAAGAATCGAGAAAGTTTAACAGGAGCTATTTACAAAGAACAAAAATTGAAAAACGGAGACAAGAAGAGTTCTTGACAACTTGTGAATGCCTAAACCGCAAGAAAACTTCACAACAGTTGCCACCTTGTGTCATTACTACGAGAGACTCGCTGTTTTGCAATATGTTTTCGCCATAATTCTACCTTGAGCAAGTGAAGACGCTAAAAAACGTTTTAAAGGAACTGTTTACAAGTAACATAAAGAAAAACAGAAGAAGCAGAGAAGACAACTATCGTTTGGGACTTAAAGATGTCTAAACTGGTACAAATCATCGAAAATTCAAGCGGTTCAAGGCAGGTATGTTTATCGGCGTTTTTTCTTTTCAATTCATTGTATAAAGCCAGAAACTCATGTGGGTTTCTGATAAAACAAATAGATTCCATGTTGTCGTGGGTCTGTTCAGTAACAGATCGCAGAAGACGTCAAAATGAGGTAAAAACATCAGTGACACGCTCACCTCTAACACATTTTGACGTCCTCTGTGATCTATTACTGAATAGTACAGACGCATGGCAACATTGAATCTATTTGTTAAATTGCAATTCCGTTTTTTCAGCCAAGGGCCAGCGTTAAACGAGACGACAAACGAAACAGTTACGTCATTCTATTTCAAGGTCTCTGTACTTCACTATGTCCAGACAAATCCGGATATTTTTGAAACCACATACTCTCTTACACGAATCGGCCTTGCGTCCACACGAAACCAGTGAATCCGATCACAGAAACCACCGCTCTCCAGAGTGGTTAAAGACCCCCGTACGCGTCCACACTAGTCTGTTAGAGTCGTCAAGCAACGCTCGTTTGTGTGGAGGAGGGTTGCACGACGAAACTAAAAACAGGTGTTTAACGCACTACGTCCACATGAATCCGGAAAAACTATGCCGTTTCAAAAATGGTCAGATTCGTGTGAACATAGCCTTTGAAGCGTACTCGGGGACACACAAGCGAATTCCTTGTGTACCCGGCGGGATCAGAGTGTGAGGGTGCTTTATGGGTCGTAGTGCCGCTGTGCATAAAAAACCTTTGGAAAGAAGCAGTTGCGAACTTCAAATACCGCAGGCTACACAAGTAACACCCGGAGCCGACGCACAAAAATCAAAGTTTCATAACTCATGACTTGATATGCACCAGATCATTTTTCTCAGTTCTCACTATATTCATTGATTTTTTTTTCTTTGAGAAATTAGTTATCCAGATAGTGGAACGCGGGCGAAAATAGAGCGAACAAAAATAGGAGGGGTCTGGGGAGAGCAGCTCTTCCCAATCCCCCTCATTTTATCGCTCGCCCTACTTTTGGTTTCGTCCACGCTTTACCATGTGAACACTTGGAAACAAATTGGTGTTGAATTTTGTTGTTTGTTTAGCTTCACTCCGACTGTGAAAGGATAGTATGCAGTTTTTCTACGTTGAGGGGGCTATATAGATAAAACAATTATTCAAAAGAGATGATTTTTACCTCAGTGTCGGTGGTGGTGGAATTTTCGTCCCGTTTTCTTGCCGACAAATAAAACTTTTTTGTTTTTCTACAAATTTTTTCAAATTAATTCTTTTGCATTTGAAAACAAAAAAAAAAAAAACTTTATCACCGGTTTTTGCATCGGTTTTTCACAAACTTCAAACTTCCAAGTCGAATTTCGTCACCTTCTTCGTGTATTTCGGGAACAGCTCGTTTGATTATTTGTGACATTTCTTTGTTGTTGCGGCATCAAAGCGGGAGGTAATTTTGCTCGTAACTTAACGCGAGTTTTGCGTCGCTCGTTCGGAGGAGGTGGAAGTGAATCAATGAATAGCACTGGATATCCCGAGTGTGAGCATCCAATCAGAGCGCGCGAAAAACACTATCCACTGTTTTAATATATACTAAAAATGATTATCATGCATTGCCGCCACGTATTTATAGCTCAGGTTGTAACGCTGCCAGACGGACCTCACAAGAAAAAAAATGATGACTGTGATACAAAGGGACGGGGCAATGGTTAAACGACCGGTTTGGCTTCCGCGGTGTTGATTTTGCCAGGATTTTGGAACGATCCTTAAACTACGTGATTGGTACTTCGGGGGTATACTTATGTTAGCGATGCCAATAGGCAAATATGATGTAATTGCTCTCAAGGCTGACCCGGCATCTCGGTTTTTGCGGTAAATTTAGTTTACAAAGCAGGAAAAGGTTTTCATTTATCTACACTCCCGGCCCCCTTGTTAAATTCCTCGTCAATCCTCTAAGCGTTTTCACCCTGTCCGAACCTGCCGAGCGCGCATGGATATGACCTGGCAGACCAAAGCAAAACACAAAAATAGCTGTTTACGGTCTCACAATATTTCACGTTAATAAGAACTAAAACAAGGCGCGATATTTTAAGTTTGAGTTGGTTGATTTTATTTTCATTATATTAATCATCTTCATTGAGTAAAGATTGAAAAGATTGAGGTGAAAATTAAAGAGACAATAATAGAAATGGCTCATTCTATTTACATAAAGCATATGCTTACAACAATAGGCTGTTTTGAGGATGCCATGTTACTACAACTACCAGGATTCACATTCGCAAGTTCTTTTCCTTACTCAAATTGTGTAATCTTAGTAGTGAGTTCTCAATTTCTTTCTTTGTGCAAAACAAACAAACAAACTATCCTGCGAGCAGAGGCTTCTGTTTGTTTGTTTGTTTGTACCCAGCGAGCACTGGTTTCTCTCTTGCATGGTTTTTAGCGTTTACGATGTCGTTCGCGTCGCTTTCCCGTCGCGTAGTTACAAAACAAACTGACTACGCGACAGACACACAAGCGACGCGAAAGACATCGTAAACGCTAAAAACCATGCAAGAGAGAAACCAGTGTTCGTTGGGTACAAACAAACAAACAAACAAAACAATCAAGAAAGGATGGATTCTGGTAGTTGTAGTAAACTGACGTTAACATTGTGGAAATGGCTTATTTACTCGTTTTGATAAATTCATAAACATTTTAAATTTCTATCTTGGGATCTGTAATTTTACTTCTTCTTTCCTGGAATCCAAACGCGTTAAATACAAACAATCTCCTCAGGAAAAAAGTTATTCAAGACCTGTGGTCATTTGAAGCCCGGTTGATTTACCGAGATTTCATCACAAACCCGGCTATTTCCTTCGTAAAATAATTTGACACCACGAATAGAGTGGAGTACGATTCTCTCACCACACAGGTGGCATTAGGAAGCTTACGCAACGATGACGGCGGCGGCAACGAGAACGAGAACAGGAGAACAACAACAAGTTTAGGCTCTGTTCACAATACACCGAATAGCTTTACGTGCTGACACGCCTTGATTCCTATCTGGTATAGTATGAGCACCTATCAGATAACTGACTCTCCACTTAAGAGATCTACACGGCGCAGCTTCGCTACCTTGCGCAAATCGCGCCGAAATCACCCTTCTTTACGCGTGAACAGACGCCTTATTTGGTATGGTTTTCGTGCCGGCGCAAAAGCACCACGCACCACGCACCACGCACGTGGCATTAGGGAACTCAAGCAACGACGAAGGCGACGTTACCGAGAACGGTAAAAAAGCAACCGGTTTAGAGAAACAAAACAATAACGTTCACGTGCATCTTGCGATAAAGCGATGAATTATACAACAGTGCGAATTCACTTTTCAAGTGACGTTAAGTCACCGTCGTGGATGCTGAAGCTCCCTCTAGACATACTGCTCGGGTTACCTAGCGATGGACAAGCACCCCATCTCATTTCAGAAGGTGGGAGCCGAGAAGAGTTGTAATACTAACTGCATCATTAAGAAACCGGGCTAAGCTCCAGCACTAAATGGCCTTTAATTTGGCTCGTTTGTGCTTCTACCTTTCTACTTCGCGTACGCTAACAAGTGAACAATTTCACTCGGTTAAAAGGGATGAAATTTCTCACACGAAGCCATACGAGGATAGAGGTCCTAAATAGAGGGAAGCATACAAGATACATAGGGACGTCCGATGCGACTCAGTGTGACATACAATACAGCTACTGCTCTCCTTGCCAGGAATAACTCTAACTCTGCCAGGATTTATTCCAAACAGTTACGGCTGATTAGTTTTCATAAAAATAACCAAGGGATACTTGAAATAAGAGCAATTAAAAAGACTGCCTTTTGGCATCAACTTTAAGGTTTGCCATAAAGGCCAACAGTCTGAGTGTCTTCCTGAATAGAATACTGGTCTCTCCGTGGCCTCCCTTTGCCAAGATCAATATTCCATATTTCTTCCTCATCGTTCCCTCTCGTGACGTCAATAAGAATGTTCGATCTGAACATACAGCTGTTTTACCCCAAGCTGCAAAAAGGGAAAAGAGCTGAGCAATTTTACGAATTAATGGGTTTTCTTTATTATGTCCATGGTTGGAAAAATCTTCATAAAGGGCTTTCGATGTTCTTAAAAGTTTTGGCTCGCAATAAATCTTCACGGGTTTTCTGGCAAGAAGGTAATGCTGATGGAAGATTTTGATTTCTCAAAAAACTGAAGAGTGTTATACGCGCCTTCGGTGTGGCTAACTTAGAGATAAAAGGGAGTACTATTCAATGACTATTTGTCCTTACAATGAGTTAATTGGCAACGAAGTCGTCACAACGCGGGCATCACTTACGACGATGAACAGCCACTGAAAAGAATTTTCGAGACCAATTCTTTATAACATGGGGTAACAACAAAATTCAGTTTATTATTGCTTCTTTCTTTCACTTTAACCTGTCCGACGACTTTAAAGTAAACTAATGAAAAAAGAGGCGAAAATAATACGAGCTAAGTCATACCTCCATGAAGATGTGATGGGTCTGGCTTAGAATTTTGTGCGTGTCTGCGGTGGGAGCCACAAGCAGTCGCAATGTTCCAATCCAGACAGTGCTGAATATATGAATAAGAAAGAAAAATGTTTTCATGAACTACGAATAACAAAAAAGATTAGCAGCCCTCTTAAAAACTGAGACTGAGGAGACAAGGAGACAAGATGATGGCTTTGAAATGGTCGCGAGGTCTCATCAGAATGCCACCTTCATCTCTTCGTTTGGACGGACGAAAGCGGAGGTTTTCGAATACGATGATAGAGAGCTTTAGATTCTGAGACGAGAACGACTACGAGTACGAGATTTTCCCAATACTGAGTATTGCTCATGCGTGAGCCAATGTCATTTTGGCGGGTAAATGTGGTAGCCGTCGTCATTCTACTACGAGTTTTAGCGAGAATGTCGTGATGGCGAAAACAAGTTTATATCAAATGTTAGGAATTTTATCATTTAGCGATCGGGATTGGGCTTTACAGGGGCGGATCGAGGATTTTTTTCAGGGTAGGATGCACTCGTCTCTTGCTCTACTTCAACACCAATAAACCACATAGTTTTTTTTTTTGCAGAATACCAGTTGTATTAGAAAACTGCAGGTCATCTCGGGGGGGTGCGCACCCCCTGCACCCTCCCCCTAGATCGGCCCCTGCTTTACCTCCTTCAATGGTACTTAGCGAACTAACTTTTGTATTAAAAAAAAGTACAATGAAGCTTTCCGGGGTGTCTATTTTAAGAGAATAGACGAGAAAACTTAAAATTTAATGTCGTCCTCGTCCTCGAAACTAAAGCTCTCTGATGTCATACGCCATACAGCGCATGTCTTGCTATGGCATTTCCATTGTTTTAGCGTTTTCGTGTGGACGGGCGGAAACGTTTCGAATACGCTAAGTGTGGACGCGTATTTCGTCGAAAACGGGGGGAAAACATCTTCGGTTTCAAAAATACCCGGACACGTGAACGGGATACTGTGAATGGAAAATACTGCACCTGCTTAGAGCCCAGAAATGAGGATCCTGGATACTAAACACATCATCCATTTGATTCACCTATGAGATGAAAAGTACCAACAAAGATCAGTCGTCTTACCTTTGGAAACTTTCATTCAAAGAGACGTTGGACTTGCCCATAATGCTATGTATCCTTGGAATATAATCAACGTTCTCTCAACGGAGACCTCAAAGAGACGGACATTCGCGTAAAACAGGCAAGTGGAGTTGCTGCTTGCTGTTATTAATGAGCTTCAGCAAAGAAGTTTTTGAGCGAAGCACGGAAAATCGGAAGAAGACTTTCTGCATTCTCGGGAAGTGGTTTTGCACACATTTTCGGGTAAATCGTCTCTTTAAGAGTAAAGACACTTAGAAATACAAATTTGGTAGCTTCAAGGTCTTTTAAGATTAAAAAGCCTCATTTTAGGTTGACGTGCGTCGATTAGAAACGCCTTTGCTTAAGCTACCTAATGAACCATAAGCAACCTTGGGATTTCAAAACGAGTACGAAAGACACGTAATGGAGTACAACTACAAGCTTGGAATTTCGAGCCTCAAACTCGAGCTCTTTTGATGTTGACTAGCACGCTGTCAAAAAACGTTAGGGATAAGACTGGTGTGATAAGCAATTACACCAGGCACACGAATGTGGTTTGTAAACTCATGCTTGTAGTCTAATTTAAATCTTTATAATAGTCTAATCGACCGCGGAAAGAGTAGCTCAGTCGGTAGAGCGCTTGACTGCAGAGCGGCTGTTGGTAGGAGGTGGCGGGTTCGATTTCACGGGCCGGAGCAATGCTGGCCGGGTCTTAAAACATCCCAGAGATTAAAGCGTTACAAAACATTTTGAAGACACTGTGCAACGCAAACAATCGTGTGAATGGCAAAGCTTATCAAAATATGCGTTGTGAAGGGAAGAAAAAGTGACTATCCGAGGGTGCTCCTTCTTGCACAGTGGTTTAAAAGCAACACATGAAGGCACTGCCTTTATCCTGCAAAAGGCTAGTCCTTCGTGTAGCTCGGATGACCACGGAAAATGACTGTCCCACCTCCAGCAGGAGACGTAAAAATAGCGCCCCCAACAAGTACTTTCGTCCTCAAGTAGAGGGCGTTTTTTCCCCTTCCTCTCCGTAAGTGGGAAACCTCTCATTGCGCGATTTTCTGAATCTGATTAATGATTTCAGATGACGACGACGACGATGCTGATGATGATGATGATGATGATGATGATGATGACGATGATATTGATGGCAATTATTGACGATGACGCCATGTTAGGTAGGAAGTCAATAGGACCTTCGGAAACTACAGTTAACCTACAATATCTACTAACCCTTTGGTAAGCAATATGTATATTCTTCTCCAGACCTGTGGGAATTCTCTGCATTAATATTCCTACTGATTCTCTCAAAAGTGGGATTACACTGTAAAGTAAAACGCACCATCACTATTTTTTTTAATGAAATAGGACTAATCCATAGCCGTGTTGCAAAACAAAACATCCGAGAATTCCCAGGGGTGTCACCAAGATTTTAAGTTGTCCAGTAAACACAACAAGTAGGCAGGGAATCAAACAGCTAGGGATTTCTTTTGGTTCTATTTTTCTTATCTTTTCCTATGAAAGTAGCCGGGGGCCACATTCATAGTAGCCAGGGAAATCCCCCACCCGCCTCTTAATGATAGCCCTGGAATTCCCCCATACCGTCATATACCGTATATAGTCGTCAACAGTGAAATCAGTGTCTTACTGCTACTCACCTGAATGCAATGAGAACAGAAATAAACATTGAACAGATTGGATCAGCTAACATCCAACCTGCAAATTAAGTAGTGTTGCCACTGTTAAATATAGCTATAAATATTTGACACATTCAACTGGATGTGAAAGATGCAAATGGTTGGTCGGACTCAAGATACCACTGAGCCACTGACATGTAATAAATTATATGGATTATAGACATTATTGCTCGATAAACAATGCCATTCTACATTACATGCAGTCTCATGCAGTAGACAACATCTAAGTCTGTCAAGTGGGTGGCTGCAGATTTAAACTCTGGCAACAAACACTCAGGGTCACTAAATACATTGTAACTAAGGAGAAAGCGCTGCCTTTGTAATGACATCAGCAAATGGTTAGACTTACTAGTCTTCTAGAATATAGGACATAAAAAACCGTAGCTGTTGTCTAACATTCCTTGCAAACAGGACGTTAAAGAACCGATACATTGCTTATTAAGTATTGTCTATTGTGCTGCCAGTCTCTCACTGCAAGAATTTGACCAATGAGCCTGGCTGGATAAGCTTGGAGGACACATGAACAAATGAGACCACAACACACATGTAAACATATATGACCAGCAGTCAGGCAATTTGCCAGCTGCTGGAACCCCGACTCAGAAACAGAGAGTGGGACTCTTGAGCATCAAAGACAGTCTTTCCCAAGGTTACTAATTATATCTTAGACAAAAGTGCTTGCAAGCAGTACTAGGAGTGGAAATCAAACTTATCCATAGCAAGTTCTTACTACAATACCAGCAAAATAACTTACCAAACTGGTATATAAGTCCTGCTGATATTATTACACCTATACTTCCTAGAGTGTCTGCCATTACATGAAGAAACACTCCTGAAAGTTGAGAGAAAATAAAAAGAGAAAAGAAAAACATGCATATACAGTAAGTATTAAAAGGAGGTCAAACAGTCTTCCACTTCTCTCCATTTTGGAAGATTCTTTGAGGAAAAATTTTGTATTACATAGAACACAGTTTTCCCTTGTAAATAACACCCAGTGTGACGTCTAGTGAGATTTTGTATAACAGGCAAATGGCTGAGGGTACGGAGCCCTAGTGAATGACTGATAAATGGATAGCAAACCTTACAGCTTTACCATGCCATTTCAAATGGTTGTTATGAATGGGTGATTACTTTGGAAAGAACTCTAACAACTGCATTGTAACATTGAATGAGTGGAATGGCTTGAAAAAATTTAGTGTAAGTTTTGTCTGACTGGTGATAACACAGCCTTCACCTAAAGTCTATAACAGTTCATGCAGATCAGATTTGAGACCCAGAGTTCATTGTTGAACACCTACTTCAATTAGCAATAAAATAAAATTAATAATTTCAGCAAGGATCACACTCACTTTGACATAATTCATCTGAAGTTCACGAAATGATTTTCTTCATAAATGAAAAATTTTATTATTTTTGGACCAAAATAGTACATACAACTGTATCAAACCATATTCACTCACCTTCCATAATTTTACTTGTGGAAACTTCTACTTTTTCATCCTTACACTCTATTAAGTAAATAAAAGATTAGTTAAATACAAGCTCCATTGGCCTATATAAAAATAAATAAATAAATAAAAAATCACATCAAAAATGCCACATAAACTATAGTCCATTGTATACTTGGAATTTTTGGGGAACATGGGCATAATTCCAAACTAAAGCTAAGAAAAAGATCAAAATTCAATTTTATCCAGGAGATTTGGTTACCTGTACAAGAGACTGGGAGATTTGTCCAGGATCCAGATGACCCCCAGATTACTTCAGAAGAGTGAATGTACGTAAATTAAAAGGATGGAACTTAAAGGAGTTGTAACTCGGAGTTTCACGCACTAAGCGATCATCAGACTAAAAATTCTGAAAACAGATTTCGATGTTAAGGTGGAAATTTTAAAGTCATGGACAGTTGGAGCAGCGGGTTCTGTGATTGACTGTGAAGAACTTGTTCTTGGGATGACACTTGGTTACCAGCTCGGATGGTTTATTTAGGAGAGTATCACAGGCAGTCAAGATACAGAGTTTCTCAGAAAGGCACATGTACATGTATGTATGTTATATTCATTTGTAAGACACACCTGAGTCATGCATGTGATTGTGTCCACCATTCATGTGTGAGTGTCCATGTGAATGACTGTGCGAGTGTCCATGTCCATGTCCATGGCTGTGACCATGACCATGGCTGTGTGAGTGTCCATGACCTGTCAATCAAAATGCAAGTACAATATATAATTTACATAAATTTACTTGTCACAAGAAAACAGTTTCTCTGATATTTCAAGAAGGAGGGGGTTCGGGGTGGGGGGGTGGGAGTGGTTCCAGGAGACCCACACTTTTGCCTTCTAATTGTTTTCGAATAAACTGCTGAAACAATAAATCATAAATACTCATTGATCCTATTTATCTGAGCTGAACAAAATTAATCACATTAAATCTGGAGTGATTTAGGGCATCATTTGTGAATCCTTTCAACTAGTCCTGCTAAAAAGCCGGTCTCTGTTACTCGTCGTTATTTAACAAAACAATTTGAGTTTAAATCACCTGATGCACCACCATGGTGAAAAACAAAGATTCCAATAAGATTAACAAAGAATCCTAAAACTGATACAACAAAAAGCCTTTCATGTTTGACCTCTGGAGGATGGAGAGCACGCTGAAAATTAAAACGTATCCATTACAGTTATATTAAGAATAATAACGTAATAAATATAATGGGTTTAATCTTTTGATAATAATAATAATAATAATAATAATAATAATAATAATAATAATAATGATGACTTTATTAATTTGTGTTCAACTCCATACAAAAATCTAGCAAGAAACTTCCCCACTGGATGTGATTTTGACCATTCGCTTCAAAATAACAGCGGAACACCATATGTTTTGTGTCCTAACTTTCAGAAACACAATCTTCAAAAATACAAAACGGAAGTTTCATGGAACTGTATATTAAATATATGGATAAATCAATATAGAGTTGAAACTAGAATCTTTCTAGAATAGTAATTATTTTAGTACTATTCTAGAAAATATCCATACCATACCACAGGGGGGGATTCACCCTTATCAATTCTGAAATGGGGGGTATTAAAATCAATAACCACAGGTGGGATTTCTGGAGTAGAAAGTGTAGAGTAAGTTCCTAAAAAACGATATTGTTGTGGACTTTTGTAGTTCATTAACGTATGACCGCGGAAGCAGAAGACAAGCATCGATAGATCAGACAATGTTTACGCTCATAACTTATAGAAGTGAACAGTAAAACGTTGGTTTAACATTTACCTTGATGAATTTCTTGTCACGTGAATAAAAACTGAAAATGTATCTTTTAATACCCTTGCAAATTTCTTGTTACTCCCGTCCGAAACCGTCCGATAAACAGTAAAGAACTCGCACCAGTCCCTCACTTCCAAGGAACGCCTGTCAGATTAGAAAAAACCACTAGATCACAGCCTTGAGGAAGAAAGCTACAAACACCAAAAACAGTCCATTCACAAATCCAGCCATCACTTCAGCTCTACCATATCTGGAAATAAGAGAAATGCTTGTTGAATTTATCATCCATTGTACAGGTACAGACTGTACATGCATGCCCAAAGAGGAGTTTCCACCAATAAGAAGGGTGGATGTCATTTTTTTGGTCGATTATGTCTCATAAGACTGCTATATGATTATATAGTCAGCCCTTTGGGACTGGCACTATTTGCTCCTTGCACATTACCCATAGAAAAGTACACCTTGTTTAGTGCCCCCCCAATATATATATATATATTGCGTAAGAACGGTTTTCAATTTCCCCCAGTTGTTACAGTCATCTCAAGAGGAAGTGAAAACAATGCTAGTGCAAAATTATTTTAGAGGGGGGTGGAAACAAAGTGTATTATGACCAATGTGAAAGTGGCGAATGCGCACATCTGAGAGGCATGCCTGTCTAACCAACAGTCAGTTAAAAGGGGTAAAGAATGGCAGGGACAAACTCTAGGTGCCCAATTTAGTGTGGTGGCCATGTTCTGGAGAGTCAACTAAAATGTGTAAAGAAAGGTATGCAGGGACCAACTCTAGGTGGCTATATCTAGTTATATCTTATTTGAATAGTCTATCTTGGAAAAGGATCTAAGAAAGGCAGGGATCGACTTTAGGTTTCCATTTTAGTTAGGTGTCTGTTTCATTTATTTTATTTATTTATTTTTTTAACTTTATTTTTGTCATTTCAATTAAAAATTGCTGGGACGACGTTTCATATTGCTGAACGTCAATAAGTGGCCCAAGGTCTATAAATACTAAAAAACAACAATAGCTGATTGAAAAATTGTAACAAAAATAAAAACAAAGAGTTTCTCACGTTGGAGTCCGTCTATTTAAATTGGGCTTTTTTGATGAAGAGATTTCAAATACTAAACAATCAAATTTGGCATCAAAAAAGGGTAATCAAAAAAGTCCCCTTGCCAGAATTTGTTTCTTTGTCTGGGTTTTTACTGACAAACACTAACAAAAATCAGAAAATCATTTGTGCCATTTTGAAAGGTATTTGATACACATCTGAATAAGCATATTGTGCCTGTGTTAACACACAAAAATAATAACAATGATAGACTCACCCATAGGAAAATCGTTCATTTTTACCCCATCTTGCGATGACTGACGCTATTAGGCCTGCTAATAGCGCCGTACAATCAAAGAACATATGAAATGAATCTGATATCAGGCCAAGGCTGAAAGAAAGCATGTGATATTGAAGTTATTTACTCGTCATGTTTTCGGAACTGAAACGTACAACGAGAGTAATCTAAAGAAATCGTGTTACCTGTTGGTCCATATTCCATACGCCAATTCCACAAACGCAAAAGACAAATTGAGGAGAAGGAAAAAGAATAAATTCCTTGAACTTTCATTGGCAAATATCTCTCTGTGAAAAGACAGATGAGAAAATGTTGTGACATCACTGAACACATGGTCAAAAACGTTCTCGAAAACCTTTCAAAATAGAGGTCATTTAGGAACTTTACCTTAGCCATTCAAGTATCCGTGATCTAAGCTTTAGTCCTGGTTTAAAATCATCACTTTTTAAGCTGTCTTTGCTTGTTAATGGAAGCATGCCGACATTATTTCTTTGGAGACCACAGACACACAGCCGGCCTTCCTCTGCTATATCTTACGTGGCATTCAAAGCAGAACTCATTTCCTGTGCACCCGAAATGCTTCGTGGGACAGTTGCGTGACTGTCGTTGTGTTATTCCGCCGTAGTTTCAACGAGGGAGAAGAACTTATTCTTTGGCTGTTTCGCGGTAGGTTGAGAAAGCTTTTGTCCTAGTCTGTAAAAGATTATGTAAACGTTTTGTAATTTTAATTGAATTTTGTCCGTTGAGTTTTATAATAGGCTTACGAGCACCACATTTTAAGCTTTTTGAAAAGTAAGCCTTCGGCCAGCACTTCGATATTCTGATACTCCGCCTGAATGGAAATGATTGGAAAAGGTAAAGAAAAAAAAATTTGCAGAAACCAAAAATAACACAGACTTATTATGTAAAATAAATGCTCTATCGCTACAGAAAAACGCCACAGACTATACAGACAAAACGGGTAAATTAAAGGAGTCCCATTTGTTTCCCTGTAGGTTGTCCGCCATTTTGTATGCTAAGTAGCTAGAAGGGTGATACAGTTAAACTGGGGGTTTAGCTCGGTGTAAAAACCTATGAAGTTTTTCTTTGTTTTCTAGCTATTATTTTCCTTGGGTATATTGTTTTTACTTCTCAGTGGCTTTTTTGTGATCATTGTTTTACGTCATTCGTGAGTTTCACGAGTTTTTTACACCAAGGATGGGCCTAAACTGGAACCTCTATTTATCATAGAGAGGGGTCAGAACTTTACTGTTTTTCGGATCAGACAATCTCATTGGCTGAGAACGAATAATGAATGATAGTCAACTCAAGGGAAATCTGTATCCAGATACAGATAAATATATGCATGTGCACTACTGTAACTTACAGCCGTGCCCAGCCACCTGTGACCACTGATTTACACTACTGAGCATGAATATATGAATGTTTCTTTTGACCATCCTGTGTTTGGATGAAGATCACAATAAGTTTGAAACACTGAAATAATGGAAAAAATAATTTCACCACAGACTTTTTTTAAAATTAATATTGATGCTTATTTATAAGTGCAATACAATATACAATATTAACAATATTAAACAAAGAATGACATTGCAAAACTAAAAAAAAAGGAAAAGACAAGATACAACTGTACACAGGATGTTGCAATTATTAATTACAAAAAATGAATGTGTTACATAGATAAATTAAAAAATATAAATGACAAAAAAATAACAAAAATAACTCAGGGGCACCCAACGAGAATATAGTTCAAAACCACTTAAACATAGCATTGTTAAACGTGTTTTACTATTTAAACGGTCGATATGGGCATATTTTTATCCCCTATAAATTTTTCATCTGTTTGGATTTCCTAGCTGAAAGTCTAGTGATCCGAAAATTATAGGGATCAAAACTTACCTGTTCGAAAATTTCAGCCAGAAAAAAGGCTCCTGGAAATTCTAGGTGACCTTTTTAGGGTAAAAATCCGTCGAAAATGGGCGATTTTACCATTTTTTAGATGTTCGAAAATCCTAGGAGAGGCAGGGAAGCAAGAAATTTTACAACAAATGTTCCGAAAATTCTAGATCTCAAATCGTCTTCCGAACAGATATTTTTCTGAAAATTGTCGTTGGGTGCCCCTGATAACTAAACAAGTCAAGCTTGTTTGCGGCTAAGAAACAAGTCATACAGTTAATTTTCAGGTGTACACTGGCTTTAAAATAATAATAATAATAAAACACGGTAAGTGAGTGACTGCAATTGGGGGCATATATATTTCTGTGCATGTTGTCCCTCAACAGAATGCTTAGAAGTAAAATATTTTTTGCGTGAGGCCTTTTACTCCTGTAATTAACTTTTAAAGTCCTTTTATTGGTATACAAGGCCCTTCATGGCCTTGCACCTTCTTATATTTCTGACCTTTTGAATTTTAAAACATACTCTAGGTCATTGCGTTCTTCATGTAAAGAATATTTAGTGGTTCCAAGAAGCAGATTGAAAACATATGGAGACAGAGCTTTCTCTATTGCAGGACCTAAATTGTGGAACGATTTACCTCTAGAGATTAGGAAATGTGCTTCAGTGGCAACTTTTAAGCAATCCCTTAAAACGTTTTTATTTAAGTTAGCATATAGGTTATGAGATTCCTTTTGTTTTAAGATGCTTTTGATTTATATAGTAGATAACTTAGGCTATATTTGAATTATATTGTATATTGTAGATATTTTGTAATTTAGATTTTTTATATTCTATTTTGTAATTAGGTAGCGCTTTGGACAATTGTTGGATTTTAGCGCTATATAAATAAAATTATTATTAATTAAAGATAAAAGTTTTCACCAATCAATAACATCATCAGGGATAAGAATGATATGTTTGCCTGGATGATCATAATCAACCTACCTATGAAATGACTCATGGGTTCAAACCTTTCAGAGTTTTTTGTATGTTGTAGTCAATTTTTTATCTCAGGCAATTTTCATTTTTTCTTTGTTTCAACTTTATGAGCACACATTGCCATACCCAAAAACAAAAGAAAAACATAAAAAACTTGAGTTAAAAAATTAACTGCAACATATATTTATTGATGTGATGTGAAGTGTGTGAAAAGTGTAAGAATTGGGCAAAGTATAAAATACAAATTAACTGAATAAAATAAAATGATGAGCAAGTGTCAGAGATCAAAGGTACTCTTTGTTCCTTCCTTTTGTATTGGCCCAGTCTCAGAAATCTAACTTGATACAACATCCAGCTTTGCAAAGGCCTTCTTGGGGTTATTTATTTTTCTTTTAACCCTTTAAGCCCTGAGAGTTATCAGCATCAAATTTCTCCTTGTAATATCAATGTTTTGTAAAACAGAGTGGTCATGAGAATTATGGACATGATCATACATGTTTCCTTGATATTTTATCAACTTCTCCCCACTACGTCTGTAGGAAATGAATAGGGGCAACAAATGAGAATTCAATTTTGATCTCAGGGTTTAAAGGGTTAATGGTCAACAATCTATTATCTCCATCATAAAAATTAAGAACCTAATTTGAAAGAACCTACTTAGTCTAAATTGCCAATAAGTACCCCAAAATACAAGAACCTATGGAAAAGTAGGTTCTTGTTAGCAGGTGTTTACTATACCCACGCAAAAAGCAAACCTAACATGTGTATACTTTTTTATGTAGGTTGAATTCTGGTTTATTTGTGCAATGAATTGTTATTCTGTTACACAAGATAGTTGGATACATGTAATTTCTTTTATTACCCAATAGTTACTTGATGGTTGTCTGTTACTATGGCATCACTGGGGCGCATGTCAACCTCATGTCAGCGTGTTGGACAACTCATGCTCCTCAGGGCGCCCAGGTAAAAGTTTGATCCTTTGTAGATCTGTTCCAGTACAACTTTTAAGACAATTTAAAGAGCCCTTGAGCGCAGATAGAAAGGTAGAGGCAAAGTAAAGGAACACACAAGCCAAAGGCCCAAATGGTTGTAGCTTATTCTAACCTGAGATCAGGCTCTATTTTCGTTTCGCTTTGAAAATCACATTCCGGCAGGCATGGCGAAACGAAAAGAGAGCCGAGAATGTGTGAGAACCGCTAAAATTGAGTCTGGTCTCAGGTTAAGCTTATCCTGGTTTCCTTAGCATTAATGGGCCTTTTGCATTAATTGATCACATGATCAATTTTCGGTTAACACGAAAACAGTTCCCTTTTTTAGGGGCTCAAAGTTCCTGTTATAACTTAGAAGGAGATTTGAGCCCCGTCATGCTTAAGGAAATATTTCACGACAGTTTGAAAATTTTGAATTTACAAGATTTGTATGGAAAACCATTCAAGTGTGACTGGTTGGCAACAGTTGTTTTTCTCATACAAATCCTTCTAATTTTGGCAGCTGTTGCAATTGCTACTATTGAGATATAGCACTTAAAATTTACAGGTTACCTAATTTTAATATATGCTCTTTCAGTTCCTGCTAACAAAATTTTTCAAAAGCAAGCTATTTTCATGTTTACCAAAAGTTGATTACGTAATCAACTAATGCAAAAGGCCAATTATGCCTAGCAGTATTGCTACTCCCCCCCGGACGAGATACGTGCCCATCACAGGGTTACCCCCAAGCATTATCTTTATGTCACCAGTACTCATTTATACACATGGGTGAAGAGAGAGACAAAGTGTTTCAATGGGGGTTTCTTGGTGTTAATTGGGACTGAAGCTGTTTTGATGCAAATCAGATTACATGTGTAACAGTCAAGTCCACATTTAATGTTGAAAGTCAGGATTCTTACCTTATAATCTATTAATCACATATTGTAACACCCTAGTTTTTGCTCTCCTTTAGAGATCTTCTTGATAACCTACAATCTTGATCTTGAGTTTTTACAAAACTGTTGAGAAAATTGTATACTTGCGGAGCATTTTTCTAAAGGTTGTAGCTGTACCAGCTCTTCCCTCTCCCCCTTCCCCAGAAAGCAATGTCATTGTGTATTCAAAAGAAAGCCTCATCCCTGGGCATTTGTAGGAAGCAACATTCAACTGGGGGAAGGGGATTTCTTTCCGCAAAACTGTCATTTCAGAAATAGTGTTGTTGCGTAGGAAAGTGGACATGATGGGCAAAACTTTCTCAAGTAGTTTTGTCTGGGATTGTAGCTCCTTAGACTTAGCAATAAGTTTTGGAAATCACTTAAAATAATTGGGGACTGCCAAAAGAGTAACTGTAAATCTGTTTTACAGATTAACATTGTGTAGAAAGGGAAGATGTGTGTACAGTTATTATATTGTAGGTTTAAATTAAAGGCATTCAAAGAGTACGGCTGTTTCTTGTAAGAACTTTCCAATCCTGGATTAGTGACAATTGATTTGCCGATTTGATACATTTTTAGATGTTCAGTGAGAATGAACTTGGGAAAACCCATAAGGAATATGAGTAACACTCATACTACATCAGCTGCTCCAGGATCTGCAAACTATTCAGGCATTGGAGCATTGATAGGAACTTTAACAGGACTGGCCCTTGCTGTCAACAAGCATAAGGTACCTACTTATCTCTTATCACCCTACTGTTAGAGAATATTAAGAAAATGATACGTGAACATATTATAGCTTTGGGGCTAACATGTGGAAGTATAATGGACCTTTTTGCCGATACGGCGGCCATATTGAATTAATTCGATTTAAGGAGAATTTTAGGATGCCCAGGGGGCATGAGTACATTTCGTTTGTATTTTTGAGCGCTGTTCGGGACATTTTTTCTTAAAGTTTTCTTATAATAAGATTGTAATGGGAAAAAAGATCCTTGTGTTGTGTTTGGATGTAATAATGGTTGCCTTTTTCCCGAGAAATATACAGTGAGAGACCATATTTCTAATACTAAACTAGAAAAAGGTGATCATTATTACATCCAAACACGGCACAAGGATCTTTTTTCCCATTAATTGCAATCTTATTCTAAGAAAACTTTAAGAAAAAATGTCCTGAAAAGCTCTCGAAAATACAAACGAAATGTGCTCATGCCCCCTGGGCATCCTATAATACTCCTTAAATCGAATTAATTCAATATGGCCGCCATATCAGTAAAAAGGTCTATTAAATACCATGTCACAAATCTCTTGATTAATGTTTAGTCTTTGAATAATTATCAACCTCTAAAGTTGGTATATACATGTATGAAATAACCTTTTTCTAATATATTATTTTCCCTGACCCCTTCAGTCTGTCACCATATGACCAGTTGTCCCTCCCATGATTTCTTTGATTCTTTGGACAAATTAAGGCAGTCAGTGAATTAAGCAAGGGGTTATGGATAGAAGTAACCGTGGCAGGATTAGCTCAGTCAGTAGAGTGCTTGACTGCAGAGTGGGAGGTCGTGGGCTTGATTCCTGGGGCTGGACCAATACTCAGGGTCTTAAAATAACTGAGAAGTGAAGGTACTCACTTTGCACTTCAAGCAGCTAGACCTTCGCGTGGCTCAGATTACCACATAAAATGGCGGTCCTGTCTCCAGTTGGAGAAGTAAAAATAGTGTCGCCAGATAGTATTTTCGTGCTAAATAGCGGATAGCCACTCAAATAAAGTGCATTTTTTTAATCTGGTGACAATGGTATGCCCTAAGTGTGTCATTCAATGTGTTCTTATACATGTCTCATGATGAGTTTAAAATCCTCCATTTACTTCTTTTTTTCGTGAAGCATCTACAAAAGAAAGCACAAGCGAAAGAAGCAAGCAGTACGGAATCTAAAAGTGATGGTGCTTTTTATAGCAGGGAAGAAGTTGCAAAGCACAACTCTTATGAAAAAGGCATCTGGGTAACATACAAAGGCCAAGTGTATGACATCACAGAGTTTATCGCCAGCCATCCAGGGGGGCCAAGCAAGATCATTTTGGCGGCTGGTGGTGCATTGGAGCCTTTCTGGGCTCTGTATGCTGTACACAATAACCAGCATGTTCTAGACTTGTTGGATGATTACAGGATTGGCTCATTAGCGAAAGATGAGAGCTCCAGTGACACGTCTGATATCAAGGTGAGGTTTTAATAGCCTGGGTGCAAGCTCTCCATTTATGGCAAGTAAAGAGAACCACGAGAAAACTCGCGAGAGAGTAGCCAAGAGGCGAGTGGCGTCTCCTTTTGCGTGCCGCTCATGCCCCGGTAGGGGGGCTTGATTTAAGTAGGGAGAGTTGAAAAATCGATTTCTTTCATTTTTTGTCTATGAATAGCTGTTAGGTAGATAAGAAACGTGATGTAAGTTGTTTCTCCAAAAGCCTTTTATTTGCGAGAAAAATTAGAATATTGGTTTTCAAGGTCGGAGTCTGAAAATGGCCTAATTCTTAACCTAAAATTTGCTAACATCAACTTTCCTCGCGTTCGAAAACAAAGCCGCACGGAGAAATTTGTACACTAGCCGTTTTGCATTTTATTTTCTGATTGTCGCTCTTATTGATGATGATGAGGATTTTGACTATTTTTCAGATGATGATAATGATGAACATTAAAGTTCTATGTGATTAGTCAATATCAATAAATAACTGAAATTCGATTATATTATATGATGTATTTTTGACAGGATCCATATGTTAATGATCCCTCTCGTCATCCAGCTCTGAAGATCAACACCAAGAAGCCTTTCAACGCAGAGCCACCAATGCAGCTTTTAGCCGACAACTTTGTTACTCCTAATGACATCTTCTTCATTCGAAATCATCTTCCTGTACCAGACATTGATGCGAATACATACGAGTTGGAGATCACTGGTGAAGGAGTCAAAACAATCAAGCTCTCTCTTGAGGTAGGTGAAGTCGCTTTGCTCAAAAGGGGTTTGAGCTGAGGTGAAGACCTGAACGCAACCTATTCGGAAAAGAATAAAAAAATCGTTGGCAATTTCAATGTGGCTCAGAATTACTTAAAGCTACGTTACGGCGGGGCAGTAAAAACGTGGAACTTGTTTTGCAAAATTGCTACAAAACGAGTTGAGAAGTAATGTTGCGCGTTTTACCACTCACGTTCAAACTTGTTTTGCAGCAAATAAGGTAGTTTCAAGTTGCGTGAATGCTGACTTCTAGTTGGATTAAATTACTCGTGCCTGTGCAACATTTACAGATTTTTCACAGATTTACAGATTTTGTTGCAAAAAGTAGAAATACTCTCTACTTTCTGCAACAATTTTTCGCAGCCTATAACAACCTGATTTGTTGCAAGGCTGGTTTGGTTCGTGGGTGGCCAAACAAGCATTATTGTTATTCAACTCGTTTTGCAGCCGCAATTATAAGAATGGGAAAAAGGTTTTGCCGGTTCAAGAAAAGTAACCCAAATCAGTCCATTTATAAATGTCTTTTTTTCTTTCGCTCAAATGTCTCAGAACTTGGGCGTGCTCGTGCGGGCGGCAGTAGGCAAGCGCAGATGGTGTAAAAGGAGGTGTTTTAACCTTTTTGCTCGCTTTCGCGTTATCAGTTTTCAAGCTATTATTATTTGTTTTCGTTTCGTGAGAGTTTTTATATGTGAGACGTTTGAGTAAAAGAAAAAAAAAAGCATTTGTAAATGGGCTAATTTGCGTTAATTTTCTTAAGCCCGCAAAACCTCTCCCCATTCTTCTGACCGGCTCGCGCCCCGCAAATTTTCCACGAGCCCGCAGGCTCCTTCTTTACCTAAAACAACATCTAAATCTACTACACCAAACAATTCCTTGCAAGGAAACATACTGTTTTATTCATATTTCAGGAGCTCAAGAGCAAGTTTCCAAAACACACAGTGATGTCAACTATTCAGTGCGCAGGAAGCAGACGCAGTGAAATGAATCAAATCAAGAAGGTCAAAGGACTGGACTGGGGGGCAGCTGCTATAAGCACTGCTGAGTGGTCTGGAGCGCGTTTGATAGATGTACTCAGGTATTGTGTTGACTCTATTCACCTTTATACACCATACACTTAATCCTTCATTAGCACAGTCGGCTAGTGTGCGCCTCTCGTGCGGGAGGCTCCGAGTTTGATTCCAAACTCACTTTGGTCTTTCAATGAATGTTTTAAACTTACAACTCCTGTTCATACCTATGCAACGCGCCAATCTTGTTCTGGAAGTCTTTTTGAAGCCTCTGTCAATACCACCCAATACGGCTTCAGGTTCCTAAATTCACTGGTTCTCGCTTGGAATTCCCCGTCAGCAAATATAACTAATTTACAGTCTCTTAAGCTATTTTGTAAAGCCCTAAAAATCTCTATGCTTAATTGTTATTCTAGTTAAAAATTTATCTGCCTTTAATAGCAGTATAGGGTGTATAAATACCTTTTTTATTTTGTATTTTTTGGGATCATCCACTAGATTAGCTTTTGATATTTGGATTTTCCCAGCTCGCTTCCTATTTAGATGCTACATCTTTTTTTCCCTACTTGTATAATCGTATTCATATGCTATCTTCGCTAATTCAATCTGTGTCATCTGTAAAACCGAGCCGAGTGAAAAGAACCTCCTCGTCTGAAATTCCTTTACCATTAAGCTTTAAGTAGTTTTAAATACCCGAAACGGAACACTGAGAGGGACGGGGAGAGGGGCTAAAATGAGCGCACCGTGGTGCCAGGCTTGTCACTCTAATGAGTGCTGTAACGAGTTGCCGACGTGAAATAAGGACCTTTGCCAAATTCAGTTAATAATTATCTTTTGTCGTCATGTACTCAATAAAATGTTTCAAGGTGAAAGTTGTATTGAATTCTGTGTGCAGGTCCAATCACGGCAACAAGGGCTAATCATGATCATTTTAATGAATATTTTACCAAAATTAACCCAAGGGTGTGGCTGAATGCATCAGATGCATAGAAAGAGCGTCCCCAGTATGGTCCTTCAATCTCGTCCTCCCGATCCAAATGTTAGCTCAATCCCATAATCCCGTTGGTTGGTTTGGTCCCCCAGTGTCCCAGTTTTTACGAGTCCATTACAGAAGTTGACAGAAATTTCTGTTTTAAAACTGTAGGTATATCTGTGGTCTACAATTGACTTATTTCGCTATCAGAATCTAAAACCACCGGAATATAGAATGTCTTCCTCTTCCTGCAGTAATTTCATAACCTCTTACCAAATTTTTAATATCTCGCTTATATTATAAACTTTCCCTTTTGATTGGAAAATTGCCTTAGTTGTCCGTTCTCCCTAATAAAAAAGTCCCCAAAACGTATGTATTGGACAACGAGAGTACTTATACCATTTATTTGGGAAAACCGGAAATTCCGGTTAGAAATTCAAATGGTAAGCACCCTAACTATAGACCAATTTCTATTCTTCGGGGTATAAGTAAGATATGAGATTAATTGTGATTGTAATTGTAATTTTTTTTACCCACGGAGCACTTAGGAGTTCATAAGAACTCGCTGAAACGTATCCGTGCGTTCCAGATCGAATTGGAATTTGAAAGTGTTCGTTTTTAACCTTGGATAGGGGAAAACCGTAGTACCCTGAGAAAAACCTCTCGGAGCGAGGGAGAGAACCAACAACAAACTCAACCCACATATGAAAGAATCTTAGGAATTCTATGAAAACCAGCTTTAAAATAGAACCAAAATCCACGCGCAATCTCTGTGATCGCATCGTTCAGTAGTTTCTTTCATTTGATCATTCAGATCCTTGACGTGGAAACCACGCTGTCGATCGCTACATAGTGAGAAGCTCTAAACGTTTGCGGATTTAGCACACAACAGCAATTTCACGGCATATTTTACTTTTAAATGTTATTCCTCCTGTATTCTGATTACATATGTCGTACATCCAGGTAGCATGCAATGCATGCAATAAGTGCGCCATTACCAATTGAAAAATCTGTACGTTCGTCTCTTAGAAGGGGGAAGAATTTTAGAAACTTAATTTTTGTCGATCATTAGATACGCTGGCCTCGACGAAAAAGCAATTGAACACATACAGTTTGAGGGTGCTGACCACGACATCACAGGCTCAACATACGGTGCTTCCATCCCAGTCTACACCGCGCTAGCCGCTGACAGAGATGTTCTTGTCGCCTATGAAATGAACGGGGATCCCATCCCGCGGGATCACGGGTTCCCCGTCAGACTTGTTGCTCCAGGAATAGTGGGTGCTCGTAACGTGAAATGGCTGAAGAAAATTGTCCCAAGTAAAGAAGAATGCACCGGTCATTGGCAGAAAAATGATTACAAGGGATTTTCGCCCTGCGTTGATTGGGATACCGTTGATTTCACCACGGCTCCTGCTATTCAAGATCTTCCAGTAACGTCGGCAATCTGTGAACCAGCCGAGGGTGCTGTCATCTCCGCAGATGATGAAGAAATATCACTCAAGGGCTACGCGTGGAGCGGAGGTGGGCGAGGCATCGTGCGAGTTGACGTCTCCCTCGACGGCGGCAAATCTTGGCATGTAGCTAACCTCATAGGCGATAATAAGATTTACCGCGCCTGGGCCTGGAAACTATGGCAAGCAACTCTACCTTTGCCGGAAGGAAAGAACTCGCTTGAGATCTGTGTCAAAGCCATCGATTCATCGTATAATTCACAGCCTGACAGTGTAGCTCCTATTTGGAACTTGCGTGGTGTGCTGTCAAATGCTTGGCACCGCGTAAATGTTAAAGTGAAACGTGATTAGAAAATGTTACACGTGTAGTTCGTAAAGAAGTGTGAACTCCGTGACCGCGCAATACATTCATGTAGAGATCGTCTTCTCATGACGTCACAGGGGACATGTTGGTGTTCCAAGCCAGTCTTGTGGGTAGTTTTAAACTCTTTTATTGTGTAATGGGCAAAGTTGCTGGCCGTGTGAGTGAAAACGCTCTATAAATGTTTGAAGCAAATTTTACTTAAGTGCACGCAAATGAAGTTAAGTGAACACAAAATAAAAAGATACAATAGTTTTCGAACTCAGTCTAAACAGTACTAGGGTTATAAAAAAGAAACAACAAAAGTCGCCCATACTTCGACGTGAAAAAGACTAAAGACTTCACTGTTGAAAGGTCTTCAGTTAAAATTATGAGGAAAACTAGAGGGTATTTCGTTGCCTTTAAGCATCCAGCAATTATCAAAAAGATAAAAAAAGAAGAAATGAAAAAACCTATAGAGGGAGCTATAATTTCGTAGGTATATTAGTAGAAATAATAACTTTGTTTTTTACCCTCCCATTATTTATAGCACTAAGGGTAGTGTGGCAGAGAGAATGAGTGGAAGAAATAACTTAAACGAAAATGACAAGGTTAAGAATCCGAGCTAGTCATAGGCAAACCAGTTGGCTTTTTAAACGTGGGATTTGAAAACCCTGTTCAAAACACATTAATACTTCATAAAGAAAAAACAAATGAAGTTAATGTTTAATGAGTGTCTTTATATCTGACAAAGACAGGGCTAAACTTTACCTTGAACTATATCAGAGATTTTGAAGCCATTTAAAAAGCTCGCAGTCGTGCATTATCAGTTGTAAAAACTCTCGGCTTCACCTCGAGTTTTTAAACCTGATAAAACACTTCTTCTCGTTTTTTAAACAGTACAACAAATCAAGCTGGCGGTCATCGAGGGGCTTGACCAGCACTCTGACCCCTCGATAGCGCTCTCTTTTAACAAACTGAGTAAAACATTCAATTGATTTTAGAAGTTTTTTTTTTTAATTTAATAAACGCTTTGTTTCTAATGAAGCTGTGGTATTGTGTCCTAGGTTGAATGACTGAAGCAAGGGAATTTAGTTTTGTCTCCTGGCCGGTACTTTTGGTGCCAAAGGCTTTTTTTCTAAACTATTTGCTCACAGTTGTAAGCACATTTTACTTCATCGTAGGTTTTTTCGAAAGCGGACCTCTGGCGCTAGGGTAGTCTTCTGTCCCCAGTTGTTCAAACGTTATATAGCGCTATACAGCCGATAAGTCTAATGAAAACCAGTTGCGTTATCCACTGGATAGAGATAAATCCACCTTGTGAACAACTGAAGGCTGGGGCCCATTTTTCGAAATCCCGGAAATTACTGAGCCCAGGAAGGTCGGTTTTCCAGATTCTATGGAACTACGATCCGTACTTTTTTTCTTGGGGACGAATTCGAAAACTGGGAATCGGTTTCATGGATTTTGACTCTCCCAAAATAGAAAAAACAAACAAACAAACTAACTAACAAACAACAACAACAACAACGACAACAACACCCTAAAGTAACATATTTGAGGACCAGTTACTGAACACAGACACCGATTTCGTTAACTATTTTATTTTAAATATCATTTCTAGCGTTTGAAAAATTATACTGTGCGTTTTTTACTCTTTTGGTATCTAGAATGATCCTTTCCTTGTTGAACAGAATAAAACAACTTGACGTCATAGAAGAAAGCTATGCATTTCAGTTCTGCCTGCCGCTACCGACAAATATTTTATGTTAGCGGATGTAATATATATTTGCACCGTCTAAAAATTAATTGGTTCGTTAAAAAATTAACTTTGTTTGGTTAAGTATGCGTTGTGTATCCTCTCCTGATTAAGTTAATTTTCTGAGCCTTAAAATACAAAATGTGGATCTTCCGGTAAAAAAGGAATATCCTCTTAAATGTGCAAACCGAGAGGTACTGTTTAGAAATGGCAAGTGAATAACAAAGAGTTTTTCTGTTGCTTAGTCTTTTTATACTTATATTTTTCCTGTTGTCAGGCTTTCTATAACTCTACCTACTCTTACAATTTCGGGACTGATTGCCTTCGCTTTCCCAAATGTTGCCCAACACTTCCTGCCCCTCCGGCAGGTCCCATCGCACCCATATCCCCTGGTGGTCCTTGTCCCCCTGCTGGCCCTGGTGGTCCCATAGGTCCTGGTCTACCGGGAGGTCCAGCGGGTGATCCTGGATATCCTGGTATTCCGGGTGGTCCTGGAAGTCCTGGGGGGCCCGGGGGGCCTTTGGGACCGTCTGGTCCTCGTGGTCCTGGCATTCCCATTGGTCCGTCAGGTCCGGGGGGACCCGGTGGTGTTTGAGGTGGTGGGGGTGGAGGAGGTGGTGCAGGTGGATATGGATAAGGATACCAGCTATCCTTCTTAGCACCTAATGATTAAATGACAGCCATCGTTAGAAACAATAGACAGGGTTTGTACAAAGTCTTGAAGACTTAAAAACGTTGAAATTTGCACAGCAATTTTCCAGACCCGGACAAGTCTGTAAAATAGAGATAAGTATAGGTAATAGCATGATTTTTAGTGATGTTTGGTATAAATACCACTCGTGATATTTCGAATTGTTATACGTAATTTTACCAGCCGTTAGGCGAGTGAAATTTCTGACAATTTTGAAACATAATGAGTTGTATTTATGCCAAATATCACGTACAAATCATGCTATTATTACCCACAATGGTTTTGTAATTTTCACATGTAGGTATTTCAAATTAAGCTGAAATACTGCTGCTCTAAGCCAATCAAATTACAGAAATTTCTCATGTAGTAGTATAAAGTCTGGAAAAATGGTAAAAAGTCTCGAGCTTTTTTTTGAAAGCTACAACAAGTTCTTTAGAAGTTTTTTTTTTGTTTTAGGCGAATCTTATTCAATCTTGGCGGTAGGTTTGCAGTGCATTATGAAAAACGCTTTGTTCCTGCCTTGTTATGGTCTATTGATCACCTATTTGATAATTTTGAGTCTGGGAAAAAAATATTGTTTTGAAAAAAAGTCTGGAAAAAGATTTGAATTTTGGATCCAAAAATCTGTACGAACCCTGAATGGGTTACGGAGGCAACACCATGCCATAGTGTCCGTATTAAGCGGGCTTTCACAGAAAACGTTACGGACACAATTGATTTTTTAGACTTACTGAAAGGTCCTTTATTATTATTTTTTTCTGGTTGGTGCGAAATTCACCGCTCGAAAATTCTACCGGTGACGTCATGACAATTGAGCAATAGGAAAGGGAGTTAGATTTCACGCCGCTCCCGACCCAGCATATGTCAATCATTTTTTTCCCGCCTGAATTGATAATATGATTGAAATCCATTCAGGCCAAAAAAGTCGACCTCAAGACTTCGTAGCTCGCTCGGTCGTTGCGCGATCTCTTGCAAGCGCATTGAAACTCGCTTCGCTCACTTTTAAGAACTCATGAGAGGTGGACTCGTAGCAAGTCTAATAATTTTTTGATTAAAGCTAAAACAGACAAAGAGGAAGAACTGTAGGACCAACGACTGCAGCATAAAGCCAAAGAAGTCAAACTTGTGTAGTAGGAGGTAAAAAGCTGTAGTACAAGGGTCAAACACGGGAAGAAAGACTGACTTCAAACATGTCACACTATTTTGCTGCTATTTAATAGAATCGTATTGACTTAAAGAAATCTGTTATTATTTTAACTTAGTACAGTGTCTACAATTTGCACATGATTATGGCAATGAAAATAGTAGAGAGTGCTCAGGTAACCAGTGTCCGTAACACGGGGGTGACGTTATCTGAGAGTTTGTGACTCGGGACACCGAAAAGTGTCCGTTGTCCGTAATAAACGGTGTCCGTTTCAAGAGGGTTAATTTTAGAGAAAATATATGGGCTTTCCATTAAGACAAACGAAACTGTCCGTTAATTAAGCGGGCGTTCGTAAAGCTGGGTTGCACTGTATAATGCTTGCGAGCAGATGCTGAGCAGCAATCATAGCCTGCGAGCATGTTCTCTTGTGCGAGTTTGCGGAAACTTTTGGCGGCAGCGAGCCACCATCCCGCGAGGGGAATTTGACAGAGGAAAAGATCTTTTCCTTGGCCAACTCCCCTCGCAGGATGGCGGTTCTGCCGCCCCGAACTCGAACAAATGAGCCTGCTCGTAGGCTAGAGAAAGTCAAACCATAACGTACATGCACATTATGCCAACTAGCGATCCTTTTATTGGGTCACTGAGAATTAATGGTTGTGGGAAAAAGGCCTACAAGTATACTAGGGAGTCCCACATTCACGAGATCTTTGTGATTTGGATCTTTATTGGCCAGTTTACAGTAATACGAAAATAACCGAAAACTGTTTGCACGAGCAACAATGTGCGAAACTTAGCGCAATTCGAATGACGCAATAAGAGTGTTATGATCTGAAATTAACTTATGATGAGTCCGCTCGGGACATATTTGCTGTAAATCATCCTAACAAACGTAAATCCTGGGGGCTCGAAGCAATGAGGTAACTATCATGCAATCAGCTAGAGTGAAGACAGTGTAATTATGAGTACTGGACTGATCCATTCAAGGTACATTTCACAACGCACGCAATAAGTATTAGGGAGTCAGAGAACTGAACCATAGCCTCGTTTTTCAATCACGTATCTGGGATTCTCAGAAAGCAGTACAACCGACCTTTTACTCTGCGTGCCTGGAACGTTTCCCAACAGTGCGCGTTCTCCTTGGTTACTTCGAGGTCACATGACTTTAAACAATAAAACTATTTACCGCCAAAAGTCTCTGAGCGGGCAGCATTGCAAAATCTATGACGTCAGAGGGTTACAGTGCACTTGGGTTAACAAAACGCCTGCTGATATAGCTGGATTTTTTTCCCATAAGCACGCGCTCGCTTTGGTTACTCCAAGGTCACATGACGTTTAACAATAAACTGTTTCCCGCCAAAAGTCTCTGTGCTGGCAACGTTGCAAAATCTATGACCTCAGTCAGAGGGTAACAGTACCCTGTTACCCGCGAATGTTGACCGCTGAGATTTACTTTTGTTAATTGTAACGCCGTAAAAATATTATATGGGGCACATGACAAATCTCTTAACTATAACTGGTTCCCATGTAACCAGTTCATTTCGTTTTCCAAGAATCTCAATGTTTTCCTACGCGAAAACGAGACAAATATTGAGACTCGAGCCGTGGATATAGGTACCGGTAAATTCGTAGGAAACCTAATCCTCTCCAGTTGGTGCATCCGAAACCAAATCAGTTATATCTTAGCTTAGAATGTTAGTCCATTATATCCTGCTCTCGCAAAATCTGTTTAGTGACTGACAATGGTATTTTTCGGAACAGAAGGCTACTAAACCAAGTCCTCTTTTTCTCTTGCTGTATCTTTCTTGATATATATAAGGGTGGCATTGCCTCTTTCAACCATATTTTTTTAAGGGGTGCTTTCTTACTCCCAAGTTAAAATTTGTTGAATAAGGAGTCCCAGAATGTTTAATATTACGGACAAGGCTATTCTAAATCTATGTTAAGCACTTCCCAGAAGCCACAGGTAAAACTTCGTTGTCTTTACTGGTAACAAGGACGTAGACAATTTATCTTGCCTTAACAGCCTCTTTTTTTTTTTTTCAATCATGTCTATACCTTCTGCTCAGCCAATTGGCCAATGGCCGTCCCATGAATCAAACTAAGAAGCCCTTTTATATATCGCCCAATATTAGGTAAACCGGATTCTGGAATCTGGGGAATTTTTGCTCGTGGAATCCGAAATCCTGGGCTTTAGAATCCGGAATTTAGCTCAGGGAATCAGATATCCCGCTAACGATTGGAATCCAAGTTCCACTGGCAGAAAATCAGGAATTCAGTACCGGGAATCTGGAATCCAGAATTCAAGACTGTCGTGGATTACGTTACATGGCGCGGCAAAAATCGAGACTAGTCAAAATTCTATTGGTCTGTTGCTATCTTTGAAGGTTTATTGACTAAATTCCGTCTCTCTGCGTCTTGGTATTATCATCGACTGCAAGATGTAACCCTGACAAGAACATATCAAAAAAATGGGTGTAATCTATGCCCATACCCCTGGTTGGAGAGAGGAGATGAAAAAGTCATCAGACAGTGTGTCTTTATTTAACTTTTTCTTACAACATTAAATCGGAATCATTTCTAATATCACGTGTTAGAAGATCTGCCATAGCTTTCTCTCGTCATTTCTCTCGTACTTTCTTCAATTATTTTTTCAAAAACTACGAACTACATGAAAGGAATATAAGACAGTTAGACGATCAAAATAAAAGGAAATTAAATCTAAACATGTGTTCTTCATCACTTGTTTCAAAATTATCTTTTTCTCTGCATTTTAATATTTTTCAATTATTGTTTTTTGAAACGGAAATACAAAATGGCTTTATTTTCGTACAAAAAAAGACTCGTAGTACAAGCTCGAGACTAAAAAATAGCTGAAAGTTGGTAAGAGATGAATGTTCTCTTGTTTAATTTGTCTTTCATTGATGCTTGATCTTTGTTCTTCACGCTGGTCTTATAATTGCTCCATGTTTCGTTAATTCTCTCTTTTGCGAGTGCACTCCGGTACCACCGGCTCCACCGGGGGCTCCCATCTGTCCCATATCTCCGGGTGGACCTTGGCCTCCTGGTGGTCCGGGTGGTCCCGGTGGCCCATCTCGTCCGGGGGGTCCGGCAGGATTTCCTGGATATCCTGGAATGCCGGGTAGTCCAGGAGGTCCTGGAGGCCCCGGGGGACCTTTTGGTCCGTCCGGTCCTCGAGGTCCTTGTGGTCCCATTAGTCCATCTAATCCGGGGGGACCTGCTGATGGTGGCGGTGGTGGGGGAGGTGGTGGCGGTGCAGGTGGGTAATAATACCAACTATCCTTTTTTGCACCTTATGAAATAACAGGCGCGGTATACCAAATTAGGAAAACGACAGATGCACAAGTAATGCGCATGTGCAGATTCGTGCCCATTCTTTTGTGTTATATTTATTTTATTCCCTTTAGATCTTAAAGGAGCTGTGTCACGAAATTTATCAAAGTTCAAACAGAAAAGAAAGACGTATTTTGTTGACAAAAAGCTGCAATTTTGGCGTTCTCAGGTAATTTCGCGTGTTTCATAGCCAATAAGGGCGCACAACTGGCATTATAGAGCGATTTTCGTATGACCTTAAAATGAAAACGTGCGAACAAGACAGCTGAAACAACAAACGAACAGAAATAGAGCGATTCGATTGGTTTATCGAACGGACACAAACACGCGTGGCTTTTGGTTGGTTAAGCCAACGTTCGGGTGAAAAAACTTTCTAGAAATCAATCGATACTTCGCTTTGACATCATACTGCAACAATATTGGTCAATCGAACAGTGCCTTCTCCATATAAGGGTTTTCTTTGGCGGGAAAACGAAGAGTCCATGTTTTGATCTTTTCATCCATTGGCTGATAAAACAAATAACGAGCACTTACCGAAAACATTTTTCAAGGTCATACGAAAATCGCTCACTGCAAAACAAAATAAACTAGACAGCCCTATCACAGCTCCTTTAAGTCGTTTAGGAGGATGCCAGAAGCGTTTGGAGATGAAACTATTAAATTTATTTCATCAATGAAAGTCTTAACCACTTTCTCCACTACCTCAAAGCTTTTAGTTACGCCTTAGGTACAGAGGGTCTCTCTTTGGTGACCGAATTTAATCGAAGTTTGTATTTGAACCATGAACCATCAAAGCTTTTATCGGATGCACGAACGATCTGAGAAATTTTCAAGGGCAAACTCTTGTATAGGTTCTGTTGCTGATACGTTTTCGGGCGTTCTTAGTAGCCTTTGTTATAAGAGTCATTTTCAATTTCAGATGCAAAATGGGCACGAATCTGGCAAAAACTGAAGCCTACTTTTGACTGCGTAATTGTTAGATTCTGGTTACATTTGGTCATAATTAACTTGCAAACTTTGTTGTTTCAGAGCTGTTACGCTTTGCTTAGTTACATCTGGCGTTAAAAGCAGCTCCATGAGATAGTTACGGTTTTCTTTTAACTTTTAAAAGCACAGTCATGCTTCAGTAGAGTTGTTTAGTAGTTAAGATACATTATTTGAAATTAACTAGCAGAGTTTTTGAAATACCATTACAAATTTGTTAGAAACAGCATATTATATAGGAGTATACGAGTTTTGAAATTACAATAAGCACTAAAAAGAACAAGACATTTTGAAAACTGTTACTCTCTGTCTTCAAAAGTTAGTTACAGTACAGTGATGTGTAAATAATAACATTTTTCAATGTAAAAGCATTAGTTATGCTGTAGAAGTTTTACAATGTTTCAAACAACTTTTTTTGATGAAGAATCGTATTCAGTTAAAGTTTCCTAAAAAAATGTTACAATTATTGTTTAAAGCGTTGAGTACTTCCGATCATTACGTTTGCATGTAAATAGAGCGTGCATAAGCTAGCATCAGAATTTGAAGCATACAGTTTCATACATTTGTGGTTAATAATCGGAGAATAAATGACAGAGAAATTAGTAATTATAAACGGCTCTCTTCATTGAAAAATATACAACAGTACAATAAAAGACTTAGTTAAAGTTGTTACTGTATGTAGAATATAAGCGTAAATAAGGGTAGCGATAGTCAAGAGATAGGTATAGCGAAGTTCAAAAAAAGGACTATTTTCGAAGATGCATGAAATTTTTCGAAGCTTGTTATCATGTAGAATAAATCGTGCGGTTGAAAATGCTCACTCTTAATCAAGAGAGCCGCTGAGTGCGTACCCCTTTATCCTGCCCTGGCACGAGTCAGTTTTTAGTGCTTGCATTGCGAACTTACACATGAACTGGCTATAGCCCTGCGGGATCTCAGGTCGACACGTATTTGGTTATTTTTTTAGGACACGCATATTTCAGTTTTTTCTCCGTTTTCAAAAGTGTGCATACGCGAAAACGCAATGTCGGCATCGTATTCGCGCGAAATCTTTCCTTTTCCTCTCCGTCCACACGAAAACGCTGACAATCCGGCGTTATGCGTCCAAAAATCTCTACTATAGGGACCGTTTTCAGAAATCTACTTTTTTGGTACGCGAAATCACCGTTTACGTGTGGACAGAAGAAACGGAGAAAAAAAATCTTCCTTTTCAAAAATATCCCGGAGCCATTTTAATCAAGTTACAGAAACATGCGAATCGGCCAAATTCGTCGATCGCGAGCTCTACAAATTCTGAGCGTTGACGAAACAAAAAAGACATCAAACATAGTCGTACTACTGGTGCTTTTAGGAAAAACAAAACGGCACCAAAGCTTTTGACCGGCGCTGTTATTGAATATGCAAGAAACGTGTGCAAACCACCGGCTTAAAAGACTTTTTTTGTTCTTTCAATCTTTTTCATGGCCAGAGCTCTTTTATCCGTGTAATCCGAAAGTAAAATCTAGGTTGGTTTGTTTCTTTTCATCTTTTAAAATCTAAAAACGGTTATCGGTTATTTTTTATACTGCATATCATGAACAGAGATCAGAAAGTCAAAAGTGTAAAATAATAGAGAGGTTTTGTTTTATTAGCTCGCATAGAAGGAAAAGTTAATAGGAGTCAATGATGACTTTGATAGATTTGTTGTTAGATTTAAGTGAATACTGCATTTACAAAAGCATTCAATTACTACTTATAAAATCACCTCGATTTCATAGGGTAAAACGTTTGGAACGAATCGCAATTTTAAGAGTAAGGAAAAGTGGTGAAAACTAGTGTTAGGTTTTTGAAGAAAGCGCGTTAGTAGACAACACGAACGTTGTTAGCTCGATTCTAACATCTAAATTTGTTAGGGTTCAAGTATTTTAACAAACGTTTGCGAAAATGGTAAACGATAAGGAAAAAAAACACAGCCCGACATACCTTGTTGATGCTGATTTACCGCTGGGGTTTCTAATGGCCAAGATCCAGCGATTACAAACAGCGAGGAGAGAGCGACACTCAGAGCTATTCTAGGATCCATGATTCTGTCAACGAAAAGAATGTAAGTCTACTTATTTCTACACGCAAGGAGCATGCGATTATACGAGCTTTTGAAAGTTACGTACCAGCCTTTGTAAGCCGCCTGAATACTCCCTGATCACAAAGAAAAGATACGATACTTTTATATTCTGTGCCCGTTAATTATTGATACTCGCAGCCGAGGCTAAATTTTAATGACCTTTCGTTCTTTTGTCGTGAAAGGACTTGGGAGACTTCCGGGTGTTAGACAAATTTCTGGTGGGACATTTTATAAAGATAATAACGATGAAAGTTAAAGACAAACCAACCTTTTCTGAGAGCGCCCGTTATAACACAGACAAAATTTACCCTTCGTTTTATCAAGGGTTATCCATGGGCAGTAACCTAGTCAAAAAGGCAATGAACCATTCCTCTGATCTTTCATAAAAACTCAAAACAACATTTATCCATTGTGACGGATCAGTGAACGGGTACCGCCATACATCAGGGTGGTACATGCATGGTTGCACAGGGTGTGTAGCCAAATAATCCAACCAAGATCTCTTAGAACAAGATTTACAGCGATGGGGAGTTCCTTTATGTTACGGTGTGAACTCAGTCTTAAGGTGGATTTCCACAATCGCATAATTTTTACGTGGTTACGCACGTTAAAATAGAGGCCATGTTAGGATGGATTTCCACTGTCGCAAATAAAATAGAGCGATGTATGGAAGGTTTTGTAGGAGCACCATCTAGAAAAAAAAACGCCTTTTATTTACCTCTCTTGACCAAAATAATACCCCTTTCATCTTCTTACGCTATCATAGCTGCATAAGCCACCTCACATTATCAGTACTAGCGATGTGTTACATTACGGCAGAAGAAACAATACGAAGGGATACACATTTTCAACCAAAAGATCGATTTAAACGGTAAACAGAGAGCGCAAGACGTCATGGGAAAGCTGCATCCTTCCTACAAACCCGCGCGCAACCGGCGTCGGTTTGGAGCAATGAGGGTGCCTGGGTACGAAACAGATTGGACTGCAAAACAGACGCCAATTTCGTCTGTCTCACAGGTGTTTGTATGGACTGTGAGCAGTCTCTTATTTTCTTCAGTCACTGGGGTAGCCCACGCGAACGGTTAAGCCGCGAGCTGCGAGAAACGAGGGCGTAAGCCCGAAGGGGGAAGAAAAATATGATCTCGTCTCGTCACAGTCCCGTTTTTGGCCAAAAGCGCTTTTTGCCCCTAGGGGATCACTGACTAAGATCTCGAAAAGTCGGACTGCAAGCAGTCTAGTGCTTGTATTTAGGGGATCAATTCACCTGTAAATGTCTTTGCAACGCCCATACATGCAACAGCTATACCTACGCTTGGCTAGAAATACCACAAAGATATTGCTGTCTGCTGTCCAGTTGGTGGCTATAAAATGGTGTCTCATTGACACTAAAATAAAGACTTAAAAAAATAAATTGTAGTCTCAGATTTTTTAATCTTGGAACCTTCGACTGTATCGCACAGTCACGTGAATTAGTCACGTGACAACACTGAGCGTTTATTGCCGATGAAGACTGTGAGGTACAGTCGAAAGCAAGAACACTAAAAAATCTGAGACTTTGCGACTAGAATTTATTTTTTGAAGTTTGATTACCAAGGTAAGGAATGAGCACTCATGGAATAAAGACGTCTCAGTCCACTTTTGAACTGCAGAAGTTTATTTCCTTTCAAGATATTCACCGTCCTTTAAACCGTGCATCAAATACCCTCGTTACATATCATTCCGCAGTCTGAGGAACAAATTCTACATATAAAACATAAAACTGTATGTACAACGCAGCACCAGTCTGCCGTTTTTATATATTCTCATTACCATCGGCAGACATACATGCATATAGCAAGCTGCTACAATTCTAGCCCTATAAATAAAATCACTATTCAGTTATAGCAGTTACTACTTTTTTCCTTGCAAGAATTTCTATCATTCCCTATAACCTAAAACAATAAATCACAGTTGCCACAGGTAGAGGTTTCTGAAATTCCCTGAATTTTCCCTAATTGAATTAACAATTTCACAGATTAGTCCTGATGATGGACTGAACCCTCCCCTCACAGCCATCTACTCTACCCATTTACTATAATGCTTTCGGCAAGTCACGTGCGGTGTACATGAATTAATAGCTCGTTAACATAACGTGCAAAAAAACAATGATGTTCTTGAAGAACCAACATCAGCTTGTCGTACAATTTCATGAACAATATTTTACCAATGCAACACAATTCATGTCCGTAAAATGTTTGAAAACAGCAAAAGTAGAGGGAAAACAATAAAAGTGTACTCTTAAAATTTCACTTTTCCCTAACTTCCTTCAAAGAAGTAACTTTTCCCTGACTCGAAGTGAAATTCCCTGACTTTTCCCTGACCTTGAAGAATTTTTTTCCCCTGACAATTTCCTGACCTGTGACAACCATGATAAATGGTTCTATTCCCCCTGATTAGTGACCAGCGATTTTTACTAGAATTTAGGCGGCGATTACTCTGGCCTTGTCCACAAGCATCCGCGTATCCGGATACTTTAGAAAACAGAGACTTCTTTTTTCTCCGTCATAGCCTTCCGTCCACACTCAAACGGCGTTTTCGGGCGCCAAAAATGCAGGTTTTCGGAAACGGAAATGCCGGCTCATCGTTTTCGTGTGGACAGACGAAAACAGAGGTTTTCAAAAATGCTGACGTCCATTCTCGTCCCCAGAGCCCGTCGTTTCTTGGTCACGTGGTCGGGTCGGTTACAAATTAAGCCGAGTGGCTCTGGGGACGAGAATTGCTGACGCCTTACATTATAGTCATCGTACAGCGCATGCCCTATATGGGATGTTATCGTATTTCCATCGTTTCAGCGTTTTCGTGTGGACAGGCAAAATGATTCCAATAACGTGTGGACGCGTATTTTTTCTAAAACGAAGAAAAAAATCTCCGTTTTTAAAAGTATCCGGATACGTGTGGACGAGGCCTCAATCTTCATGCCGCAGTTACCATGGGTTACCTAGCAGCTCGTGTGAAAACTTTAACACTTTTAAAACTCACGCAGAAAGTCGTCAAGAACTGAATCACCTCAAAATTTAAGCACACAAGCAACAGGTAATGCGGTAGCCTGTCCAAAAAATGCTTTTTAGACCGATTTGGCGAACGCGAAGGGCTAGAAAAAACACATTGCCCACCTAAACCACTTTTGCGCTAGAGGTCAATAAATCCCTGGCCCCGCGGGGTTTTTTTTTCATACGCGCGCTCGACGATCTCTATAGGAAAAATGGAGGATCTATGAACAAGCTAATTTAGGGGAAACTGATCGTCGCAAGTACGCATCTAAATCGCATAAACAATCGTTAGCGTAAACGGGCGTTTTGAATTAACCGCGCCGTGGAATTAGCTTACTTAAACGCTCTTCGAATATAAGCATTTTAAATTATAGTACCACTTACCATTCTACCGTACACCAACTTATAGTCGTCTTTGTTACCCATCAGTAACACATAAATACAAGCAAAAGTTTCAAATATATTTGAAATACCTATATTTTTCTCCTCGCATAATTTGAACCCAAAAGTTTTGGAAAACGGATGACTCATTTACTATTAATGTTACTAGCAAATAGTAATTGGCGTAACAGTGCTCAAAAGGAGAGGCTAAATTAAACAAGTTTTATTAGCACGAAGCGTCCCTACTTAAATACGGGTCCCAACTTTAATACCGTAAACGTTCTAATAAACGCCCTCTCTTAAATAAACGCCCCCTGCCGCCCACCCCACGCTTTTAAGTCTGGTTTAGATGCCACTCTTTAATAAATGCCCCCTGTTTAATAGGCGCCCTGCATGAAAATTGTTCCAAAATACTTGGAACTAGCGAAGTAGAGCAAAATCAATCAATTTATTCAGTTTCGTTCTAGGGGTTTGCGTACTACATCTTGCTCAAAGACAACTTCAAAGTTCGGACACTGATATCGAAATAGAGCTTTAAAACGCTATAGATCTCTAAACGGCCTCGACGTATCAACTCTGGACTGCGTAATCTGCTGTTTATAAAATATTGTGGCATATTCATCTAAAGCATATAAGTTTTGTAGAGTTTGTTTAAAAGGCATTTTACGAAGAATAAACGCCTCCTCTCTATCAAACGCTCCTGCTTTGGCTCCTGAAAGTAAATAGATGCCCCGGGCGTAAGATCATTTACGGTTCTTAACTAGGGAAAACAAGTTTTGCCATACTTAATGCAGAGCGGTAGCAACGAGAAATAATAATTACTAAGTACAGACTGTACATGTAACAAAGTCTATAACCACAAATACTAATAAGTAATTTGATTGTCATGGTGACTATACGCATGGACGTTCTAGAACACGTTTATGTGTCATACACATGCAAACTACATTTAATATTTCTCAAAAAATTATATAAAGATTTTTTCAACGAGGACAGGGTTGAGAGAAACAACAACCCAAATGATTGCTAATGAGCAACCACAGAATACAGCTGGGGCCATATCTAAAGGTCTTAAAAAAGTGGTTCGGTGGCTCGCTAGTCAATACGAGTGTTAATAGAACGATAAAGATATAAGACATATAACTGTAAGACCGGCATAAGAAAGACATAAGTTTTAAAGAGCAAGTGAAGGTAAATATTTCACTTGCTCAGTGGATAGACTACGAGCAGTCTCTCTCTTTTCTTGGTCCGTCGAGCAAAACGCCCGAGACACGCAAATGACCACGCGCGTGACTGAAGGCGCGAGACGCCGTCCTTGTTTCTCGCAACGCTCGCGCGCTTGCACTCCCCTTACTAAATCTGAAGAAAAAAAGAGACTGCTCGCAGTCTACTCAGTGGATCGTCAGTTGAGGCTAGGATCTTATACACTGTATTTTAGAGGCTTGGTGGCTTGTCAGTTGGGGCTAGAGTCTAAATAGAGTGTTTCACTCACGTGGTCAGCATCTATGCAAATTTATTGCAACAAAAGGAGGCGTTTGCATAAGAAAAGAGTTAAACTCCAAACAGGATTTGTTTGGGACACCAACATGGCCGCCGTTTCATTGTTTTGGGACACCAATATGGCCGCCGTGACGTCATGTGAAAACACTCTATAGGTTTCTGTGGCTTGGCAGCTCAGAGGCTCGTCAGTGACCGTCGTGCCACTGAGCCACCCCAACAAATATATACCTAGAAAACTGGCCCTGTATTCTGTAGTTACGCCTACCACAGTTGATAGTATGCCAATTTGCTCCATATTTCCAAGCAAACGTAGCACACTTTTAATAAGAGAATCTAGTAGTTAATTAGATGTCACTTACAATGCCTACGCATCTCTTCACTAATAATAATAATTGCTATTTTAATTGAGTACATTAACAACTATTATCATCGCCCCCTCTTACTGTCTGACACTGCACCCCAAATATCGAAAATAAAATCATCGGGGAACTGGAAGTCGCCAAATTCCTCATCTACAGCCACTGCAAAATCACTTGGATTGTTTAAGGTCTTGCTCTTTGTGACCAGAGTCTCAGCTGAGGTGAAAAAAAAGGAAACATCATATAAGTGATGAGGTTTGACATTTATTTCTCTCACCATGTGCAACAGAGAGTCAGTTTGACTGGTCTGCAAAAAGGTGGAGACATTTCCTAATGTGAGGTCACTTCATACCACATAAATGAAGTGATAATAAAGTTTACAGCACTCTAAATGGTACTACCTTGTGAGCAGAGGCCCTTCAATCTTCCTAGATAAGTCGCATGCTCAACAGGCAAAGTTGAGGCGGCTGGCAGAGGTCCCTTCCTCTTCCCGACTTATCTAGAAAGATCGCAGGGCCTCTGCCCGCAGGGTAAAATGGTTCTAGTCAATAGTATTAAATCTGAGCAAAACAAAACAAAACTAAAGGCAGACACACAAAAAAAACAGCAATGGAAAAACTTTGTTTTGTCGTATGACTGCCGACACAATCAATTTTGTATCACTTCACTAGCATTCTTACAGATTTTTAAGAATTTTGGCTTGCAAGAAATCATATTCGTTAGAACATTTCTGTGCAAAAAAGTGTAAGCTGGAGTGAACCTCTGCAGAGAATCTTTGGAGTCAGGGAAATATTCCTGGCAGATTTAATATTTATATGTAAGCCCTCAGTAAACATGCACAAACTGCACAAGGCCAGAGGTAAAGTAGCTCAATGGTCTAGAGTGCAGTGTACTTGCAATTCAGAGGTCATTAGGTTTCACTCTCGCTGAATTCAATACAACTTTGAGGAGGCAGCGTGACTGAGTGGTCATTGCACTGGATTCACAATCCCACAGTCCTATGGGTTTGAGTCCGCTCTGATCACTTGCTGGATTTGTTAGCCACCCTCCCAAGTTCAAATTCTGTCAAAAATGGTATATAAATGGGTAACGGGTTGGACCTCAGGGCAAAGCCTCATTATATAAAACTTTGTTGAGTAACTGCCACCCCCACCCCTGCTCCCACCCCCCTGGGTGTAAATGGTAGCTGTCATTGTCTAACTATTTTTATTAACGTTGACCTACCTAAATCAGGGTCTCTAATGCCAAGGAAGCTCTCCAAGAGGTCGTCAATCTTCTGAGCAGCTTTGACTTCCCATGCAGGGGCCTGACAAAAGAGGAACCCTCTCCAAATTACAAGGCAATAACTTGGGGATTCCCAAGAAGAAATGATGGAAACACTTAGAAAAGAACTTAACAACCTTAACCCCTTAAAGGTCTGATTCGTCCCCAGTCGTCTCTAAGTTGTCTCTACTCATTAATTATTTACTAGGGAAGTGCTTGGGTTATGCGTCATCCCCTTCGTTAAAGAGCCCGTTCTAGTCTTCCACACCAAATACTAATAATGAGAGATGACTGGGGACGAGGCAGCCTTAAAGGTACCCTAGTGCCATAGTCTTGATAGTACCGGTAAATTCAGTGCAAGCAAGGCTGTACTCTAGCAGCACCCAGTATTCCCTGGTGCCTAACTGTTACTTTCGGGCAACTAGAAAATCTTAGTTTCTTGATAGAAATCCTATGCTGGGCACCCTTTATTCCACAGGTTCAGAACACTGGGCTCCCTTCAATTTTTCTTAGAGGACAGCCTTGCAAGTGTCCTGCACGCACCTTTGCTGACAGGAATATTGTCTTCCAAAACTCAGGTTTTGTTGTTGTTTCAATACAAATGTTACACATTGTCTTTGAACAATGTTATAAGCACCCCCTTGAATTACCGGTATGTTCTGGCTAATATTTTAAAGTAAAACAAGTACCTCAATGCTACATCAAAGATGAACAGTAACTGTAAATGATAACTCACTTCTTCAGTCTCCACCAGTGGTGGGCCCTTAGATCGCAGTCTTAGTGTCGCCTTACCACTTCCAACTGCGTTGGAAGTAGCTGCAGAGTCCACAGAAGATGTTCCTCGGCTTGAAGTTCTTGGGCCAATCCCCTCTGAAAAAATATACATCATAACGGCATGTGAGAAATAATAAAAATAACCTGCATAGAATCTTTTAAACTTTGCACAAGATCAAAAATAGACTTGCCACCTCTTCTATCAATTGCTTAAATAAACGTACATGCAACGCGCAATCCTGCAGGCATGGCTACTTTGGCAACATTCAATATTGGGGTTAGAACTGGCTGTCTGAACATGTCAGTTTAAAAAATTAATGATATATGCTAAAAAGTGCAACATTATCAAGTTAGCTCACCAAAGCCCCTCATTGGCTCAATTAGTTGAAAAGATATTTCCTGTCCCACAGGAGTGTCTCTCAACATTCGTGCAACATCGTAATGCCTAATACCGACAACTTCACTGCCATTTATGGCCTCGATGTGGTCTCCAACACAAATCTGAGCCACTCCATCAATGATGCTTCCCTCCTTGATTCGCTTGATGAATGCACAACCAGCTCCATTGTCTGTTATGGTCAAACCCAGTGCTGGGTTGTTTTTCATGACAGTCACAGTTTTTCTCTGTCCTTTTACGTGTGCAAAAATGAAGTCATCAAGACCAATCTGGCCACCAAGTAACCTTTCCATGTCAATTCTGTATGTATTAAGTGTACAGAACAATATCTGTATGGAAATAAAAATATGATAACAATTTATCATCTTTATTTCCACAACAATCATAATAACAGCTAGTCAAACCTCCTGTAAGCAACCACCCAAAATGCAAAGTTTTAATGGTCGCTTCCAGGAGGTAATCGATTACAAGAATCGAACCCACAAGAGGGTCTCTTTCAAAAAGAGGTCCCAACACATCTACTTTTTGGATGAGAAAATTTAATTATTACCTGCATACAATTTCTAAGTAATGATATCAATAGTTCCATGCTATCACTGAAAGTTCTTCATATGTTCTAAGTGGCATAGCACATACAGCAAACATAGAGATCGCACAATGCATAAAGTGGTCGCTTACAAGAGGTAAAAAATGATGGAAAATTGTCAAATGTCATCCCAAAAAGCGCTTCTGGTGGTTTATCAATTATGAGAGGTTCTAACTATGGGGCCTTGAAAGGAAAATTTTGGTGTCTTGATAAGAGGTCGCTTAAGGAAGGACTGGCCACTTCAAGAGGTGGTCGCACATGGAGGTTCAAAGCATTTTAAAAACACAGGTTGAAGGGCTTGTCCTACTAGCTTTGCATAAAACTGTCCTGTGATCATTGAAACAATGCAAGATCACAATTTTATGCTTGAACCTGAGTTATTATCACAAAAGGACTTCCATGCCATTAAAACTTTAAAGGTGCATTCTTCTGGATGATCAGGATTGGTGATCCATGATCTAATCATCTTGCGGATCATGGGGCATTACAGCTGCCCATGAAATCATCCCATTTGAACAAGGATTCACCGGTATCTTTGATAAACCATGATGTGAGTGATCTTAGATCATGAATCCTGATCTGGATCTGCTCATCCCAAATGAATACACCATTAAATGGTTATTGGTTAAAGCAAACCCTTCAGATATTAAAAATCTCAAGTAATAATAAGAGAACAAAGCTTATTATTATCTCAAGATTGTACACTGTCATAGCTTCAACTAAAATAAATGAAATAAACCAGTAACCATTTAGAGGTAATCAATAAAGTAGTTTTTTCATCTACCATAATATCGTTATTCCTGAATGAAATGGAATTTGGAACATTGGGGTTTTGGAGGGGCTTATATTCCAAAGGGATTATCTATGGAGGGAAATTTGCATTTCAAAATTAATTGCCTAGCCTTATAGTTGGAAGGAAATTTGCCGTTTTTGCTTTGTTTTACTTTGTATTTGAGGGCAACTTCCAAGTACAAGTCCCCAGGGGTTTATATTTGAAGGGACGATTTAATGAAGGGTTTCTTGCATTACGAGTCTGGGGGGCTTATATTTGGAGGGGCTCATTTTCAAAATTTTACAGTATTTTGGTTAAGGTCCTCCGGCGGCTAGGAGAGGTTAATTGCCGCACATTCAGGTATGACTGTCTTATGGCAAAAAAGGCCTTACTGATATGAAAAATTTACAAGAATTTTTAATGTCGGCAGCTGGAATCAAATTAAATTAAATTATACACAAAAAAACAGATCTGCTAAAGGCATAATCTTGACTATAATTATTACAGGGAAAGCTCTCCTGGCATAAATTTTTATTACTGGTGCAAAACTACATGTAAATTGCATGTCAGTGCTATAGTACTTAACACACTGTTGTAAAATAAGTAAGCTTATTTACCGTCTGGAAGAGAATAGAATTATCAGCACCACTAAGCAGTGTTCTAGTAACTACATGTAAAAGTTTAGGATTTATAACTGGAAGCATTTTTCTTTCTTCTTTTTTTAAATAAATGTTTCAATAAATAAGTGGTTTAAACTAAGACGTAAGTTTATGATGAAATTCCTATCACTTTCGAGGTCGATCTAAAGATTCTAAACAAAACAATCCCCAGTAACCTAAGCCTTAAATTTAATCAGCAGTCAGCACGTCGAGCAACAAAGAGATATAATTAATGTAAATCGATAGTATGAATAATGAGAGAAAACGGTATTAGTATCAAAGTGGTACTCTGATCTTGCCAAAGACAGTCATCTTAATGCAAGTCCCAAAACAATGCTTTGGTTTATAGCACTACAAACCTCGTTGCTGGTTTGAAGCTTGAATACCTCGGCTAATTTCTGGTAAAGCTCTTTCACGTTAGTGAAACCTTCCACTTTTCCTGTCGGGCTTCCATGTGCCAGCTGACAGTAAAACACGAACTTAGGAGGCGGTGCTGGGGGTTCAAGAGGCTGTTGTCTTACCCCGGTTTGCGGCTGATGAGGCGTTCTAGAAGCGGAATTCAAATTTGAAGATTGTTTTTGTTGCGGCGGAACAGCTTGAACGGACGGTTGCGTAGTTGAGCTGATTTGCGAATTATTTTGAGCTACAACGCCCGATGAACGACTGTTTGAATGTTTTTTGTCGCTATCACTTTTACGAGAATCGCTAAAGTTAGCTCCCCCTTTCTTGAAAAGAGGCATGATTAAAATCGAAAGAAAATCTAGATTACTACAAGACGTCTGTATCAACGAAACCACATCCTCGATGAGCTTGTTCCCAGTGCTTCGTCGAAAACAGATTCACCCGGCTAATCCCCGGCTAGGGTAGGGTGAGATCTTCAATTTTCTACCCTACCCCTACCCAACGGTTTACCGTCCTATCAACTCAGACTCAACTTGATTTGACCTCAAGCAAACATTTTTGAGCATTATCGTTTAGTTGATATTACTCTTGGATCACTAATCATGAACTAGGTCACTGACAAAAACCATAATAATAAAATGCTGAATAAAACTCCATGAAACATAGGCTCTTGTTTACCTGAGCGTGATTTTGAAACAACATAACGAAACCACCACCGAAACAGGAGCATAGGTCTTTCGCTTACCCTCGTTTTAGTAATGACGAAAACGAAACCGCTAATACGGAACCAGAATGGCCAAGGCCACCAAATTGGCTGCCGAAAAACTTGATCTAGAAGAAATTATCGAACATCAATCAGAAGAGTCCAACAGCTACTTAAACAAAGTGAAAGACGAAAACACTCGGAAAAAGTGTGAATAATAGCACTTACCGTAGATCGTAGATTCTTGATTAGCGTGCGGGGCGCTTTTTCTGAATCAGTTTTGAGTTGACGTTGTGGCGCTAATTCGAGCGGGGGGAGGAAATTTTATTCTTACGAATTTCGCCTTCAATATAACATTGTTTGTTTGTTTGTTTGTTTTTTTTTTTCAAACGAACAAAAACTGCAATAGCTTGAAACGCAGTGAGTGGGAAAACTATAACGCACGTTCTTTTAGTATAAACCCTAATTTGTGTGCATGCTTATTACACATTCGTAGTGTATTCTTCGCTTTCAACGCTCTGTTTTATAGCTAAAAGCTCTGTCCTTTTGTCACACAAAAGGGATATCCTTTTCAGGCCTCAATTATGTGAAAGGGTAGGGATTTTACTAACTAAAGTATATGAAAATATAGGGAAATATTTCACTGCCATTTTGGTCTGTAAATAGCCCTAAAAGGGCTAACAGTTGCATTTTATAGCTCTGAAAAAGTCGAAAAAACGTTCTGGTTTTGTGATTTATTCATATTTGAAAGACAGCAGGAGCCTGAAGACAGTGAATTTACAAAAGTTCATGTGAAAGGTGTACCATTTCTCAAAGTAGAAGGTAAACGAGAGGGGCACTTTTTCTATTAAAAATGGTATATAAGAGGGTAAGGGGTTAGACCTTTGGGCGGCCGCGGAGCCTCTCCGTATATATATAACTATGTTGAGTACCCCCTCCCATGGGTCAGAGGAGCCACGTGTTCAGCATCCGACCGTATGATGTCCTCAAACTGGTTATTCTCTATTCGCCAACTTAAAAACGCGAAGGAATCTGGACCAAATTAACTTTCGCAAAGACGTCTGGGACCGTACTGGGGATAGGGAAAAAAATTGGCCAATAGCTGACCGGCACGTCTCCAGTTACGATCCCAGAAGTCATTGCGAAAGCCAGCTCACCCAGAATCAGCGCCCATCCCGCATGGAGGAAAAGTTAATAAGCACCCAGCCTCGAATAATAATAAAAATAATAATAATAATAATAATAATAATAATAATGATAATAATAAATAATGGAAGATTTGCTTTCTATAGTCTCTACAAATTAGCATAATAACAAAGGATCACGAGTTCTTCAAGTGAATACCTTTGCGCGAATCGAGTCCGCCTGCACGTTTAGGGATGGTTTGAGTTTTCTTATAAAGGGCATCTCCTTAATTAGGCAGTCAAATTATAATAATAATAGTAATAATAATAATAATAATAATAATGATAATGATAATGATAATGATAATGATAATGATAATGATAATGATAATGATAATGATAATGATAATGATAATGATAATAATAATAATAATAATAAACTTACTACTTGCTGAAAAGCTAATGAAAACTTAATAAGCGCCCACTCTCAAGGTAAAAAAAAGATTATAAAACGCCCAGGGCACCTAATCAAATAAATACGGAACTTTGGAACACTCTTAAATTGCTCTTGTCACAAAGTTAGTCAGGATTCTCAGGCAAGTTTGGATATCATCGCTACGAATGCTCCTCACCACATCAGTATCTCCAGGAGCTCCTGGTATCTCAGTATATCCTGGTTCTTCACTATCGGTTCTTATTATTAGTTGTATAGCGTTTCTGTAATGAACACAAGTTACTTAGTCCTTTCTAGTGTGTATTTAGGTCAAATCACTCCACTGAATTTGCTGCCGTTGCTGTCTCTGATTTCATTCGATCAATTGACTGCCCATCCGGGGGTACTTGGGTATGAGCCCTTACCCCATTATGGTCTATTCTGTGGCCAATTATAGACCCCATCTTAGTTACTTTTGGGCAAATAAGTAGTTTTCGCAATCCCAACTTAGTCACTTCCTATTTATGTACCTTTTATTGAATGACACCTACAGTACAAACATTCTGGTACGTTTGTTAACCGCAAATATGAAGAACTGTCTTACCCGGCCAAAATCAGAAAAAGTGCGACCCCATTCTAGTAACTCTATTGAAAATGCGACCCCATCCAGCGGCACATCCCCATTAGCCTCTTATAAGGAAATACCCCCCCCGGGATGCGCATGCTGTTCTGATCTTACCTCGGCGAAACTTTGGCTTTTTCTTGCTATTGTAGAGAATAGTGTGCTGCCTCGCCTAAGGCTCGCCAACAAAAAGCGCCTCGAAACAAGCTACAACCTTGTTGATCAAAACTACGCTTTGCATTTCACTGGCTTTCGATTAAGCTCGGAAACGTCATAATAGATCAAATTCGTTTCTATGCCTTTGGCGGAGGACTTATATCCAGCGGAGGAGGCTTATATTCGGATGTATTTTTCGTTTACAGGTAGATGGCCCTAGTGGGGGCTTATAAGTACGGAGGGGGAGGGGGCAGGGCTCATAAGCGGCAGTTTACGTAGACTACGAGTAGTCCCCATTTTTCCAGTGTCAGGGCTAGTAGAGAGAGCGAAACGCGAGCGCGCGTAACCTGAGTATCAGGCGTTTCTGAAGGAAAGCTAAAGGGGGAAGAGAGAAGCGAAAAAGGGAGATAGCGATCTAAAATCTTCTCTCCCCTATGCAAAAACGGTGCTTGCCTTGGTATTTTTTGAACATTTTAAATAGACTGGTATTCTATAGTTCTATAAACTGTTGCAAATGTTTGCAATTTCTCCTGTAACAAGACCGCGAAGACAGGCTAAGGAGTCCGCCTTTTTGACACTGAACCCCAGTTTTCCTCGGTTAAGTCACCAGAGAGTCGTTCCAAGACTGCTGAATATTTGAAGCACCATTTACGAAAACAGCGGCAGCATTTTTTAAGACAACAGAGGCACCATATACAAAGATAAAGCCACCAGTTTAACAAAATAAGAGGCACCATTAACAAGTTTAGAGGCAACATATGTGAAAACAGAGGCACCATAAACAAAAATAGAGGTACCATTTACTAAGATATAGGCACCAGTTTAACAAAAACAGAGGCACCATAAACAAAAACAGAGGTACCATATACTTATAAGATATAGGCACCATGTTAACACAATAGGAGGCACCATTAAAAAAATAATAATAATAAAAAAATGGGAGCACCATTTACAAAATTAAAGGCACCATTTACAAAAACGAAGGCACCATTTATGAAAACGAAGGCACCATAAACAAAATTGGAGGCACCGTTTACGAAAAACAGAGACACCATTTATGAAAACGAACGCACCATAAACAAAATTGGAGGCACCATTTACAAAAACAGAGGCACCATTTATGAAAACGAAGGCACCATAAACAAAATTGGAGGCACCATTTACGAAAGTAACGATAGCTGAATTTTGGCGGTAATGGCACCCCATATTCCATCGGTATATTATCAAGAACAAGACGCAAGAGTGCGTGAACCCGGCCTTCTTTTAGTTCATAAAATGATAGAGCGCCGAGGGGAAATGTGCACTATGTAATAATGCACTACAGCCCATATGAAATTTGATGATGAATAAATGGAGAAAAAATACTACTGACTAGCAAATCAGACTGGAAAGACTCGAATTTTCCAAACCGGTGTACTTGACCATGACTGCATGATGTTGCAGCTAGTTTTCTTTTTCTTTAAATTAGCATGAGCGTCAGTCACAGTCTTGGTGTAAACTAACATTTTGGGGGAGAAAACTTTGAAATAACACCCTATATGACGAGGATGAGAACATAATGGTTGTAATAATTATGCCAGAATTTTAAATTTGTTTTGGTTGCTGGACTGATTATTGTACATTCTAAATTGCTACAAAGGAGTGAAAAGCCCAGATCTTCGCAGGAGTAAGATCTTTATTCATATTATTGTCACTCTGATACAGGTACTTCAAAGACAAACTACTGGCATCTTCTTTTAGTTAATGCATCATCAGAAAACTTCGAAAAGAGTTGCTGCACTTATCATTTGATTTGGGATCAAGTTCTGAAAAAAAGTAAATAAATGAAAAGTCAAGATTTCATTGCCTTGTTATTGATTCAACAACAAGCAAAGAAGTAAGCAATCGCCCATTTTTAAAGAGCTATAAGCTTACATGTAATCTTTTATTTAACAATGAGATGCTGTTTGATCGATCAAAATTTTAGCATCAAACAACTCTACGTGCTTTACAAACCTGCCGCTTCCACGCGAGCTCTATACAAGTTAATCCATATATGCCAAAAAAAGGTCAAAGAATATTCTTTTCCCTCGATATAGTAAGCTTCCGTTTTTATACCGAGACAGCCGGGAAGCACGAGACTTAGACCAAGCACAAACTTCTGCGATGAACAGTCACGTTTGTTTGTCTTGATCAATTAATTGAAAATTAATGCACCGAAACGGTAATTAACTGCCACTTTCCTGCAACTAGGTGCAAACTATGCTATATTACCAAATCAAAGCAATTTCTCCGCTTTTAAATTTTCTAATGTGTCTTAC